ACTTTTTCGAGGAGTGGAAGGGTAAGGAGCAATTGGTGTATTATGTGTTTTTTTTAATAGGGCCCCAGAGCCTACACAGGAAGCTTCTATTCTTATCATACCACATTAATGCAAAACTGGCATAAAACTACACAGCCACTGGCTCATTGGAATTGGAATCTGCACTGGTTACTAAAGATGGGGATGGCACGTTTACTGCAGGGATCCAAATGCTCTGAAGTTGACTCCTAAATTAACTGAAAAATCATCTACTTTTATTTTGGTTTTCCTGCAGATTTGCTAAAATACAGTGAAGCTTTCTGAAATACAAACGGCCTTGTTTATTTCATATAAAAAAAAATTATAAACCAGTCATATTTTTTTTTAAACTTTATCTATTTCTAATTCTGTTATTTCTTATACAGTTTCTTACATAAACAAATAGATACACTAAAAAAGCTAAATACTACCCACACATACAAAAACATAAAATAGCAATTGCTTTACCCAGACTACATTGCAATGATCATATTAACAATCACAAATATTTTGTACACTTTTTACTTATCATATGAACAAACTAATTTATCTTTATTCTGAGCAGAAATAGATGCTACTATCATAGATAAAAGAAATATGCAAATTTATGACAGGAGTGAACAGACAGCAACTCATGCACAGACAGTGACAGACTTAACTCTTTGCGTCCCAAGGAACGCATCATACGTTCATAAGTTCCTACTTAGAGGCCCAATGAACGCAAGATGCACCAATTTTACGTCTCTCTTGACTACCCCTTGGGCCTGTGATGCTAAACCTCCCTGTGACTTAAAGAGTTAGAGCATGCTTATGAAAATCCAAACTGGCAAACTCCGACTAGAATTGGTTGACGGCATCCAGACATTCCACCTCAAGATACTATCTTGGCTGTGCACACTAGGGTGAAAGAAAATGAAAAAGTCAACAGACTGGCCGTATCTGCAGTAGTTAGTGAAGAAAGAATTATGGACAGGGCAGATGTACTGACAGCGCCGTGTTCCAGAGATGTGGAGACAAAGGGGTCAGAGATGATGAACCGCCTGTTGGAAATGGGTTCTAAATGAGGACACACATGCAGTAACTGGCTGTGGAGCGAAAGAAGAAGATCTGCCAACTCTGGCTCTGGAGCAAAAAAAAAGAAAATCTGCCAACCAATTCCTACTAGTTTGGTGAGCACAAAAACATTGAGATAGCTGCAGCGTCGGAGGATGGAACACGAATGGGTCGGACTGATCTGTTATGATATCGATATGGACAGCAAGTCACAATAATTAATAGTTATATATCCCATCAGAAAAAGTTTCTAACTGAACTCAAATAGTTACATATCTCATCAGAAAAAGTTTCTAACTGAACTCAGCTCCCCTGAAGGAGACTCCATCTCGATGAGGTGGGGAAGCCTAAGATTCTGAATGACCTCGAGAGATATGTCAGAGGTGCCGGGTCAAAATGTGCATATAGTCCAGGAAGGCGTCAATGCTGAACCTGAGAACTATGGTATTGCACAACACCTCCCTCTAGAAGGAGAAAGGAAAGAAGCAAGAAGACTGAACTCAGCACAATGTAATTTTTTTTTTGTCCACAATATATTCTGTCTAAATAACAGATTATTACACAGACTAAGCACACTCTGTACTGGTAATAAATTGAACCCAATCTTTTTTTTTTTTTTAATTAATTTTTTTAACAACTATTCTCTTACCACATTTTGTTCTGGTTATAAATTTTAATCCAAATTTTTATTTAGCAAAGTTTTTTTCCCCGGGATCGAGATATTATAAAAATAAAAATGTATGTAGCAGAAATGTATACCGGTATGCAGTAGCCAATGGGTGTATTACAAAATGTTTAGGTTGCATGTGGGGGGAAAAAAATAGTTCAGCAACCTCACCTGTGTACTAATATGACATGCCAACCCACCCCAAGGTATGCATGTCATGCATCAGTCTAGCTGGCCTAATAACAGCACCAGCGATGAACATAACAGAAAATAGGACACCCTTACATATTCTGGGCCAACAAATTATTCCAATTAAAAATTTTAATGTAAAAATCCAAGCACTTATAATGCAATGTTGAACTGCTGACACAACAAGGAATTTCAATTCTCAACATGTTAAAATCTCATAAAAATCTAATCAACATTAAAGAATTTACAGAAATGGTAGACAGAAGATGATAAAAGAAACCATGGCACAAAGGAACTTTAAAACAAACATACAAAAGGTAAAATAGTCCATCTTCACTGAACCTGTAATAAAGACAAGGTAAATAGTCTATCTTCACTGAGCTTGTAATAAAGACAAGGTAAAACAGTCTATCTTCACTTAGCCTGTAATAAAGACAAGGTAAATAGTCTATCTTCACTGAGCTTGTAATAAAGACAAGGTAAAACAGTCTATCTTCACTTAGCCTGTAATAAAGACAAGGTAAAACAGTCCATCTTCACAGATCCTGTAATGGCGATAAACTAGTTTTTGGTGTAAACAACTGGCAAAATGCATGGGTAAAGAGATAGAAAGAGACAGACAGAATAAATAATATTTACCTGATAATACAGCATGAATGAGTATAAAAACAGAATTGAAAAACAGGAGATGCATGATGGCAGGCACAGCAATAAGAGCAACATTTAATAAACCTTTACTGTGGCACCTTTAAAAAAATGCAGTGGTTCCCAAACTATTGAAGTAATTGTTCCTTGCTTCCCGAGTCTCATCCTTAATTCCTCTATAAATGTGTATCTGCTGCTTCTTCTCTCAGTTACCTTAGTAAAGTGTTGGGAGGAGAGTTAAAGATTTGCTACATGCTCTTTTTTAACTCTTTGAGTCCCAAGGAATATATCATGAGTTCATAGGTTCCTAACTAGAAGCCCAATGAACGCAAGATACGCCAATTTTACGTCTTTCTTGACTATCCCTTGGGCCTCTGATGCTAAACCCCCTGGGACTCAAAGAGTTAATGTACTGTGTAGGTTTATCTTTATTCCCTAAGGTTGTTCTCAATGCCATTATTCCATCTGATGCATGGTCTTCCTGTGCTCTGAGTTCATTATATTTTTTTCAATGTCATTATCTGCGGCAGATGGTTTCAGGGAACTCTCGTCTTATGATCTAACCATTTCATCTGAATGGGAACCTTTGAAAAACACTGATCTAAAATATTGTCACACATCTCTAAAACATCATAAAGTATATTTACACAAATTTAAAAACATCTATTTATGAAGTGATAGCAGCAGTCCCTGAAGTTTTCAGCCAAATGAAAATCTCCTGTCTAAATACCGTGATATATCAGTTCTTCTATAACAGTTTAGCATAGGCTGAGTATATGAAAGCATTAACAGAAGCGTACTGTTGCTCTGGCACTGCTTTGTTCTGTCTCTGTACCTAAACATACTTGGTCTACAGCCACAGGCAAAGAGGTATACTTTTTCAAAAAAGGGCACTAGCGTGTTGGCTGTTGCTTACAGCTAGGCTGCGATATCTGCGCCTTTCGGCCAAAAACATTTCAGCAAAATCCTAATCCCCCCCCCCACCCCACACAAAAAAAAATAATGGGGCCCCAGAACCCACACAGGAAAAGAGGTAAACTAACACTGTACACTTTCAGACAATTCCGTAAGGACACACAACAGCAGCATTTGTTTTCAAGCATATGTGGATATTTCAGGAGAAATTTTACATCATCCAAATAGATAAGTTATTATCCGGGGTCTTTCATATGGCTAGCTATGTACAGAAGAGTTGCACAAAGCATGAATTCCACAGCCCCTGCAATGATCTCCAGGAACCTCTGTAAATATTGCACTCGAGGACTAAATGATGAAGTCTGTGTGATGAACCCGCGACCTTCAGGGCATGAGAGAAATGGCCTGACCACTTCAACAAGGAGAGCATTTGGGAGACATTATTTATGGCTTGGAGTTTGACTCTAAAGTTTCCCCTCACTCTTAGTCAGCCTACTGCTGCTGCTGCTGCCTTTTGTCTCCCAGACATGACTTGAGTTTGACTCTAAAGTTTCCCAACTTAGTCAACTGCACATCAAGTCTCTTATCTGATCTGTAGACATTATTTATGACTTGGAGTTTGACTCTAAAGTTTCCCCTCACTCTTAGTCAGCCTACTGCTGCTGCTGCCTTTTGTCTCCCAATGGAGCACAGGTCTCAACCAACTCACATCAAGTTCTCTGATCTGTAGACATTATTTATGACTTGGAGTTTGACTCTAAAGTTTCCCCTCACTCTTAGTCAGCCTACTGCTGCTGCTGCCTTTTGTCTCCCAATGGAGCACAGGTCTCAACCAACTCACATCAAGTTCTCTGATCTGTAGACATTATTTATGACTTGGAGTTTGACTCTAAAGTTTCCCTCACTCTTAGTCAGCCTGCTGTTTTTTGTCTCCCAACGGAGCATAGACCCTCAACCAACTCACACCAAATTCTCCGACTTGTCGACATAGATTATTTATGACTGGTTGGATACTGAACAAGATCAGGAAGCTAGTCTCTTAGTCGCCTCATACGACATGCATGAGGTTTATCATCATCATCATCTTCCTATGCCATTATATGCCACATAAGGCTCAAAGTCTAGTCTTCATCCCACTCTATACAGTACAATCCTTTCGATTCCATGGAATGCATGGGAGGTTGTAGTATTACTAATCTGTGCTTTCCTTATGAGTTCTAGTAAGACACTGCTATTCTGTTGAATTTAATTTCATAAATATGCGCTTAAAAAAAATCATTACGAAAGACTCCATTTCTACAACAAATGTGCAAAAAATTTTCTCAAAACTGTAAACCTGTTTTTTTAAATCTCCCAAAACAAAGTCTGAACAGAAGAGAGCAGTGCCAGGACAATAACAGGTCTAGTATCATAGATATATATACATAGACTGCACACAAGAATGCTCACTGAAACAATCAGCAATCAAGCAAAACCTCAATCATTCCCATTCAATCTTGCTTGCTTCAGTCAATCACAAAGCTTTCAACTCTTCCAACATTTTCTCGGACTCCAGTTCTGTGTTTTTTGCATTCTCTTGATGGATAGTCCTCGAATCGTTAAAATCAATTTCTTTCACAGCGGTGCCTTCTAACAGGTTCTGGCGGGACCGAGATCTGGTTAGCTGGGCTCTCCTTTCGGCTGCAGAGACAGAAACAAATTTTATATTAATGTTATGATTTATACCTAATATAAATGCAATTATTTTTGATTATTTAAGTTATGCTTTATCAAAAGTGTACTAATATTAAGGTGTGACAGTGCGAGTATGTATAAGATTCTCTCAATGTGTGTCCTATCCATACTAGCTCATTTCTTCACTGAAATCTGTTAAGTTCTCTTTTCAAGTTTTATATTTGTGCCACAATTATTTTATAAATCAAGTATCTCATAGTACTCAGTCAACAACTACTCAGTCAGTCAGTGAGTAGTATGTCCTTTTCTTAATCTTTCTGTAATAGCCAACCTTCTTCAATATTCAGTTCTTGAAGTTCTTTAACCATGATTTTCTTAGAACCCGTCTATAACATTTGTATTCAAAGACATTTCATCTCAAAGCACCAGTTAATATTTAGCTTGTTAGCAACCGTTCAAGTTGAGATTCATGTTTCTGCATCACCCAGCAATCCCGAATGGACATGAAGAGTTTTTAGTTTTATACTCAGAAAAGATTAATTTTATACATAATTTTATACATTTATTATTTTATTATTATTTTTTATTTTCTCTCTTACACATCTTGTTATTTTTTTTTTTCACTTCAACAGACGGCGTTAAAATCCATAAGGAGGCAGACTTTTTTTTTTTTTTTTTTTTTCAAAACTGATTTTTAGCTTTCAGGTTAACCCAGCTTACATGAGTACCTGTCCAATATGGGTTCCAATGGTCGTCCCTTTTGAAGACCAAAGAAAAAAAAATCACCCCCCCCCCCCCACCCCCAACCAACAGCATGTTGTGGGAGGCAACTAATTAGGGGTGTTTCCTTTAAAGTTAGAGTGTGTCTGCCTGAGAGGCGAGGAACCAGCAGTTTGCATAAAACATGTCAGATCTGTAAAATGGATGTGCATTCAAAATTCGAGTTCTGGAACAAGACTGGTCTAGAAGTGGACCAACAACAACTTTATGATGGAGTTTACAGCTGAAGAAGAAGATGAAGAAAAAGAGAAAAAAAGGGGGGGAGGAGGAGGACAAGAAGAAGAAGAAAAGGAGGAGGAGGGGGAAAAGAATAAGAAGGCACTCAGCATAATTTCAAGATACCCAGCATAATTTCACACACTCATTATCTTATTCACAACTGCTCTGTTTCCTTGCGTGCCCTCTTGAATTTATTTCCTTTTAAAATAAGCTGTTCAAATTAGGATGGGGGCAGATTTTGTTTTTCAAACACTGACCTTGGCTTTCAGGTCCACTTAGCCTATATGGGTCACAGATTATGTCCGTGGAAGTAAAGGTTAACTACATAATCCATCAAGTGCTGGTTTCTCTCTAAAAAAAAAATCAAGTCTAGCACTATACGTCCAATTTGCATAAGGCTTGATTTATACAAATAAAAACTGAAAGAAAAAAGTTAAGGAACTTTTTTTTTTCACGCCTTTCAGGCGTATAGAGCTAGACTTATATTTTACAGACCAATCGGCACAAGATGGGTGATGTGGTCTGCATCATGCCGGCTGCCTTTACTTCCCGGGATTTCACCCGGTACTCACTCAAAAATAAAAACTACTTGACATTTAATGAAACACTAGAATATGGAGAAAAGTAAGACCCTCGCCCTTTCCAATTTACTGATCCAGTTTAAATACATTTGATTCTGTCTAGTTTCCCCAGAGCCAGATCACCTGAAACACCTCATGCAATAAGGTAAACAACAGTTACATGGGTGGTATAGACATGGTGCAGCATACAAAATAATAAGTGGTAAGTGCATGCAAAAGTAAACACAATATGCAAAATGTAATAATTCTCTGGTGCATTAACCCAAAAAAATGACATACATAAACAGACATCAATAAGAAAATTATGTGTGAGCAACTAAAAAAAAAAAACAATAAAAAACAAGCATAGAGAAATGTTTTAATTCCAGCTAACCAAAAAAGTAATTAAAAAATAATCTATGAGCTGGGCGGTCCTCTATACATGAAGTTTCTAAAAAGTTCTAACGTGAGCCTAGATACACACAATAAAACCTCATAATTGAAAAGCTTGAAGAGAAATAGAACAAAAGATGCAAAAAGGTATGGCTTAACTCTACCATACCGCTGGCCCACTATTACGGGAATTTCCTAATCTGCCGCTAAACCACTGTGCCTCAATGTCGGAAATTTGTGTATTATGAGAAAACAATGCGTCACAAACTAAAAATAACAAGCCAATCGTAATCAGACCTCGTGGTTATTCATTGAGAATTGCTGTCCACGTGTGTCTGGATTTTTTAAATGTTGTTTGACAGGAAAAAAATTATAAAAATTCACAATAAAACGATTGGCTTTTGAACCAGGCACTTCGACAGGAAGTTAAGTAGGTCTAGGCTTTTCACAGTCCAACAGGTGATCGATACTTTGGTTGATTTAGACTCTTAAGGAGTCAGAATTTCGTGAAAAATACATTCCTAGTTGAAGTGATACAGTCAGAGTGATGAGGGGAGTCTTGAAAATTATAACCACTTGTTTGCATGCAACTAATATTTTTGTATATCATGTTGATTTTTTCGTGTTGATGCCCAGGAGCTCAGGTATAGTGGGCAGTTAGGTTCGGGGCCTCAGGTATAGTAGGGTTAAACAATAACATGATCCAGTGATCACATGCAAGATGGTAACGAACCATGAGCCCATGGGTATTTGCATAATACATAATTCCAATGATGATAATGCCGATGATGAAACAGTATGGCACAAGACAGTGCAAAATTAAAAGACAATGCAGATCTCAATAAAGATGTATATATTGTGAGAGTCCTCTTTCTGTGTAGCCTAAGGGACTTAAATCTCCAAACAGACATATAATATGTCTGAGTTACAGCCCTTGCCAGCAACACCTTCTCTGGCTTGTGTTCATTTTCAGTTTTCACATGTATCTAAGAGCTTCAACTGACCAAACAGGCTAGTGGATTTTTCTCGCAGAGAATCAGTTGAGCGATTTTTCTGTATTCTTGTTTGCAACTGTAACATCGTCTTTTCATGTCATGTAATCTTGGTTTTAGCTTTACAGCAAACAGGTCACCCCCATAGTTGCTCCGCTTCTGTGCCCCCCCCCCACCCCCCCAAAAAAAATGCCCATTTACTGTCCTGGAAGTTTTGACACAGACTGCAGTCTCAGCATATCCACTTGCATACACACGCATTAAAAGCATTAGGCAGCCATCAGAAGTGCTAACACAAACAGTCTTACACTAGAAATGCAGTTCATCATCAATGGAAGTAGCGGTTACAAACAGATGATGAGCAAACTTGCAATCAAAAGGCACCACAAATGCTGTGGAAAAAGGCTATGCACCATTTTTTTTTAAAATCTACAGTTCACAACACCACATTGGTCACAGCTGAAAAAACATTCCAAATGAAATCCGCAGCTCACAGAGTCACACCATGTACTCAACTCAGTAGCTGGGTGACAAAACTATTTACTTTCAGCCTACAAATGAAGGAAAATGCAACGGCTACCGTCTATCAGAAGCCAAACATTGGCCACAACTAAAAACAGTGATCGTGCCTAGAGTCCATTTTGACCGGGCCCTCGTGTCATGTGCTAATGAAAGCTTTCCAGCTGCTACTTTCACTTGCCATTTGTGGTTGTGACAATGTGAAGCTGAAGAGTTCTACTTTTCATTTGGTCCGATACCTTTTCATGATGTTTCTATGAGGGAACAACAGACACAGTAATAACAGTAACAAGTAAAGAACTCCCTAAACAGACCGGACATATGATGCTCGGCTCATATTGATATAAAATTATGCACCGGATACTGACAAACACTCATATAAATTAGGTATGAGCCTAACTTCTGTCTGCCAGTGTTGTCTTACTGAATAGACTCCAGAACATATCTTGCAAGACTGTCCTCTCTTGATGGAGCTGCAAAGCAACATTTGGTCCCACCTGGTGATCCTGACAACTAAGCCTTGGGGAAACCTAAGAGACCTTGAGATGACATCCTAGTTTATGGCTCACAGGGGATTGAATGCAGGACCAGAGATTGCAAAGATATTTTTATAGACCAACTGGAACTAGATAACTGCCCAGGACATGTCCTGCTACCTATTTTAGACTGGGTCAACATGGCTGCCAAGGTCGATTATTAAACAAAAAAAATTTTAGTCTGTGTGAGGAATCAAAAACAAGATCTTTGAGCTGGCAGGAAAGCATCTAGCCACAGCTCTACCATGGCTCCCAGACATGGATGTGCTTATTACTGGCCCTGTTTACCTGATAAAGTCAGTTTTCTTACCTTTATGGGTTTTTGATGACATGATGTATTTGGGCTTTGGCTGATGTGTCTACATAACAGCTCTGATATGGGCTGCAACTGCGTAGTGTGTAGATGTGGTGGGTATGATTATGTTTACGTTTGTTTTTAAAACTGAGATATTATTTGGTGTGGGAAAAAAAAAAATCAGTTTATTTTTTGCTGTGCCATCATCAAGATGACATTACTTTGCTCTGTGTGGCTGTATCAACAAAACCCTTTTTCTTTTCTTGGTCAAAGGGAAAGTAAGCAGTAACTTCCCATCACAGAAAAAAATCATCTTTGTGCAAAATAATGACTCTTAAAATGGAAGATGCAGTTTTATAGTGGTTTCAGGGCTGCAGTGATGCAATAGCTAGCGGCTTGCCTGTCTGCTCGGCAGTCATAGGGTTTGTTTCTGTTGACTGTCTGATCAGCTCCTTTGGCGGTCAGTTGCGATGGACTTCATGGTTGAATGCCTGAGGCCTGTCCAGGCAGTCAGGTTCTGTAACCAGGTCTTTCTTGGTCTGCCTCTTCTCCTCTTTCCCTCTACTGAGCCCTGCAATACTGTTTTTGAGAGGCCGTTAGATCCTATTACATGTCCATACCATTTCATGTGTAATCTTTTCACTGTAGTTAAAAGAGGTTCATAGTTGTCACTGTGCTGTATAATTTTATGGCTAACCTCTTCGTTTGTAATGTGGTCTTTTTTAGTCAAATTTTTAAAAAGATAATTTTTTAAAAGTGTTAAAACTGTTAAGTATTATATTTGTCTCTGTTCTCTATCTCTCATTACCTTCTTAAAGATCATCTTGGAAACAAACAAGTTGGTTCCAGGTGTTACACAGTAAATATTTCTTGATTACTGAAGTTAACAAATCTCTATACATGTATCATAATGGCTTTAAATTGATTATAGTTTCCTATGATTGCAATCCATCAGATTCACATTCACATTTAATAAATCGGGGAAAGAAATGGAAAATAAACAAAATATGAAATTACACAGACAAATTCAGGTAAACTTTGCTTCTAAAGTAAAACAAGTAATCCCATTGTAGATAAGGCTATAAACAATTTTTTAAAAAAAAAGGACTTCAAGGTGGATATTGTTGTTCTTCATCGTGTTTACCGGCTGTAAACTCTGATAGAAAGATCTGGCTGTTTATCCATTTCTGGACTTGAAGTCTTGTTACAGCATCTGAGTTTTGTCTGCACATCCGTTTTACAGATCTGGCTAATTTTTATGCAGACTTTTGGTTCATCACCTCTCAGGGAGATACACTCCGACTGTCAAGGAAACACCCCTAACTGGTTGACTTTAACAACATTTTTAAGTGGCAGTAAGTCTGTTCCACAGACCCCCCCCCCCCCCCCCATTTCCCCACAATGCTGTATTTCAAACATAATCCAGTACTTGTATTTAATATTTAGCTGCCGTTGATAATGTTTACTATTGATTGTTAACAGATGTGTAAATGAATTGATGTATGAAAGGAGGGAGATTAAAAGGGCAGAATGTTAAACGGGTTTGTGTGTCCAATTCTTAACCATTTGAAAATAAACTTTGTTTGTTTAATCATTCTGTAACTAGCCTTATCTTTCCAGATAATGACTCAAAATGTTTGTAGGCCTTCCTGCATATTATCTCTCCTGCTGCTGCTGCTTTTTCTTCTCCTCCTCCTTCTTTTTCTTCTTCTTCTTTTTCAGTGTTCCAAGCTCTTGAAGTTGACAACTGCCTCCATGCATCTCTGTGATCTGCATTCTCTTTCCATTTGGTGACTCCAAGTGCCTGTAGGCCTGCCTTTATATTATCTCTCCACAATCTTCTTGGTCTGCCTCATGGTCTAATGGCACAACATTATTTTTACAATTATTAAAGACATTTTTCAACCCTCTACCAGCTTCAAACAAAAAGGGTAGAGAAGGTAAAAAAAAAATTTAATATTTTTTTTTAAACGAAGGATGCAATATCAACTTAGGGCAGTGAAGAACAAAAAGAAACTGAAAGAACCAATCAAAAATTATACTGTCAAACAAACAACGATGGTGAATGGACACAGTAAACACAGTCAAAAATGACTGGTAGCGGTTGATAGCTAGCCTGCCGGCAAAGTGTTAAAGTAACAATAGAGATAAGACTGGTGAATGTAACATAATTAGAGATGACAGAAGTGGTTAAAGTAACAAAAAAAGGTAAGGAGATTTAATGTAAGAACTTGAGAGATAGAAGGTAATGTAAAATAACTAAATGTTACAGATGGGGTTAAAGTTACAACTGAGATTCAGAAGTACAATGTAAAACAACTAGATGTGACAAATGGGTTAACGTTACAGCTGAGATATAGAGGCATTATGCAAAATAACTAGATGATGAAGATGAATGTAAAATAACTAGATGTGGCAAGAAGCGTTAAATTTGCTGAGATATAGACTTGTAATGTAAAATAACTAGATGTGACAAGAAAGGTTAAAGTTACCAAAAAAAAGAGTCAATTTGTAAAAAAAAAAAAAAAGACTCATTTTCTAAGTCATATTCTTCCCACTGGATATGCCGTGACCAGGTCACAAGGTCAAAGTGTCATGCTATAATTAGTTTACAGGCCCCAAGAGATGTAAGCTAGTTGATTCTATGCTAATTATTCCCCTTACTCTGAATAGTATTTGTTTGCATTTTGAATGACCAACTGATTTTGCACGATTTTTTTCTGACATGTAAAACTGTTGTTTTTCTAAGGATTCTTTTTCCAGTAATATCCACACATAAAAAATGGAAAGTACAAGAGCCTGGCTTTGTATTTTTCTACGTGGTCACTGAGGCGAAAGGGTTCAAATGAATTTCAGATTAGTAACATTCCCTCGACAGGTTTTTGATATTTCCCCACCAACAGATAACCAACCATGACCCATGATAAGACTTGAAAATAACACAATTACTTTGAATATACATAAAGCAGGTAACATAATCAGTAGTAAAGCATTCTAAAGATGGCAAAGTATATCCGACTGCGTCAAACAAACACAGACCGTCACACAGCATTTTACGACCATGCAATGTAAGACTATGCACGCTAAAGCAGGAACACGATAAAACGTTATATTCAATCACATGACATGCTTCGTAATGTTGTCATGTGACCATGCTACTATATTTGTACATGGTTCACCTGGTTCTCCCCATTGTTTGTTTTCCAAACTCTAGAGCGGGTCAGAAGTCGATCAGCTATTGCGGGGGAGAACAATGTCAGATATCACAGATATTCAGAAAAATTAAATGCATTTCACAAAAGATTAAAAAATTAAACACCAGTATTCACACAGCAATAAAACAAAGATTATCAAACATAGCTTAGAATCAAAGGACAAAATTAGAAATGTAGGGGTACTTCAATAATGATATTAAAGTACATATAACAACATCAGATAGGATTATGGTGCCAGGGAAAAAAGACAGAGATATTAATATAGTGAGTGCAGTTACATTTTTAAGATTACATATTCATTGTTTTTCCCATTCACTGTGCTGTTTTGCTATTAGTGTGCGGAGTTCCGTTTTCAAAATGGCGGACAGCAGCTGTGTTTATTTTTGCTAGCTGTCAATTCTCTCGGATTATTCTGTTCTATAATCATGGACTGCTATTTTATGCGTATTTCCAACGCAGAATACTATGTTTTTTTCGTGGGAACAGCGTGTATTGTGGTTGTGCTGTGTCGGGGCGGGATAATGACTGATAGTTTTGGCAGCCTCAGCCACGCTGCCTTCGCAATGTTTTGATCGCGGCGGTCCACTCGGGAAGACAGAATCTCGTCAGCAGGGGACTGCAACTGTCTAGAGATCAAACTCGATAAAAGCTGTCCCCAGAAACGGAATGTGTCAACCATATATTTGGTGGGGAGGAATCGACACATACGGTTAACTCAATGGCCATGGCCATGCTATTAGTGTTACATGGGATTCGCAGTCTATTTCTCCATTCCATTGTTGAACTGAGTTGAGTCAAGAATTGACATAACAGCACTCGGGGCGTTCCCATGCGTGCTCTGTCCTCATCTTCAGCAGCCAGCGCAGAGATCCAATACTGATGGTACCGGTTACAATCTGGTTATATGTCTGTCATACCTTTCCTCTGAGTGTAGTGAGCCGGCTAGACCCTCTGGTTACGTCCAGGTGCCTCATTCACTCCAGGCCATAATAATCTTGTTTCTCTACTGATTCCGTTGCTTGTTCCCAAAGGGCCTTGACCACATCTGCCTTGTCATGTATCAGTTCACCACCCAGTGGTGCAGATCCAGCCAATCTGTCTGCCTGTTCATTACCCACTATGCCGGTATGGCCTGGAGAAAAGATCCAAAGTATGCTCACTACCTATGACCTTCCCAGTGAAGCTCGCCACTCCGCTTGAGTATCCATTGTTTCCTGTGAAATCAATTCAATATCATGAATGGCATCCAGTCTAGCACCTTTGGCTTCTTTCATGAACATCTGCCTCAGGGTTTCTCTGGGATGTCCTCGTTTCATATAATTAATATTTTTAAAGTGCATGACTCAACATATGATATGTAAATTCAGAAGCATAGATAATAAAGAAACAATTATAAATCAAATTACATCCCTGAAGATTTGGATATGCAAAAGAATATTCAGTCAAAATTTTAAAGAAACAAAACTAATTTAATTTTAAAAAAAATAGAACTGCAAATGTTTTCTGTTTAAAAACAATGTATATCTTGCTAAGTGCTGTTCATTTATCACTGAAGAAGAGAATATTTCATTGGTCAGTGTTAAGATTTAATTGCTGATTGATCCGATCAGTATCTCAAACACTAAACTACTTCAAACCACAAACCAAGAAACTTTAGACAGTATGATTACCAAGAGAAGATGGAAATGGCTTGGCCACGTTATGAGAATGACTTCTGATATACCTGCCAAAACAGCTCTCACATGGACACCAGAGGGAAAGAGAAAACAGGGGCGCCCAAAAACAACATGGAGACGAACGATGGAAAGTGACCTGAGTGCAGCATCTTTGACATGGAAAAACTGCATTGAAGATTGCACAGGACAGGAAAGCATGGAAAGTCCTCTCTGAAGCCTCATGTGCCACTAGGCATAACGAGAACTGATGATGATGATGATCCGATCAGTCAACCTACACTTGTTACACAAAGCAACAGTTTGCTGAATTCTAATCAGCTGAATGCCAATCCTCTATTCTCTCTAAGTGTTTCAGTGTTAATCAATCAATAAATCAATAAATTTTAGCTGCAATGATTCTATGTCTTTCGCCCTGGATATACACTCTCTTAGACTGCTGTTCTTCCATCTCCTGACGTTATCCTCCCACTTGTACACTGTTTGTCGCCTTCATTTTGTTCTCTCCATAACCTTCAAGGCATATACATACTCAAAGAGCAAGTTACAATGCAAACTGTTCTATTTTTTAAACCGAAAAAATGTGTGTATTTATATTCACATAAACAAATATAAAATGCTACAACACAATAGCATGTATGAAAATTAACAACGGTTAATTAACTGAAACAATATTTCTGATGCTATAAAAGAGTGAGATTACACTCTCAAAACTCAAACAGGCCAAGATGTACATACCCCCAGCAGCTCGAGGTGTCCGCCGCTTGCCATCTCTCTTCTCTCTGTTGACATTGAAAGCGGAACCGGTCTTCAGGGCTTCCAACAGGTTATCCATAACACCCTCCTGGTTGTCGTCTGCAAGCAACACATTCATTTTATTCACAATGATTCATATTTTCATCAACATCATCATCTTCTTCTTCTTCTTCTTCTTCTTCTTTCGTTTGCCTGAAATAAGTTGTCCATATCAGCAATTTTGTCTCTTGTATAAATTTCACTGTTGTTGTTAATTCATTCAGTGGTCCATAGAGTTTAGGTTCCACTGTTGTTCTTTCTGGCCAAAAGGTTTGCCTTAATGAGTCAAATTCGGTGCAGTCCTGGAGTGCATGCTCTGCTGTCTGGGGCACCTTTCCACAGGTGCACATGGCTGATACGTCTATCTTGAATTGTGTGTACATGTGGTTACGTAATCGGTTGTGCCCTGTTCTGAGGCGGAGGATAATGACTTGTTCTGGTCTGTCCATAATAGAATAGTCATCTATTCCTCAGTTCTGTTTGGCCCTGTGAAATCCCTTAGATATCATGTTTGAATCTAGTTCAGCACCTTCAGTTTCTGATCAATGTTTGTTTTAGGGTTTGTCTTGTATGTGCTTGTTTTCTCAACCAATATGTTCCCTATGTCAGTGTCTGTTTGGGGATTCTTTGCATTTACAAGTCTACCTTCTTCTTCTCAGTATTTGGTTTCGTATTCTCAAGTCACACTGTCAGGCAGGCTGCCTCTATGAAACTGTATGTCAGTTGCAGATCCTCCAGGGTTCCACAAGTCTACCTTCTTCTTCTTCTTCTTTTTAGTATTCAGTTTTGTATGCTCAGGTGGTTTGCCTCTATGAAACTGTATGTCAGTAGCAGATCCTCTAGGGTTCCACTAGTCTACCTGAAATCGTTACTAACATTTCATCTTCTATTTTGTTAGGGTCTTATTCTTCTCTACTTCTAGCTGCCTAATCATAGTGTTGGGAGTAAATTTAAGATGTTTTTCTAATGTACTGTGTAATTTAGTTTTCATTTTGTTTCTAAGGTTGTTCTAGATACCAGTGTTTTATCTTTTGCACAGTTTTCCTCTTTCTCTATGCTCACTGTATTTCTTCAGCATGGCTCTCTGTGATAGTTGGTACCACAGCCTTTTTGCCAGATGGCCAACCATTTTATCTGTAGTTTTTTATTAATGGTTTTCCTGGTTTCAATCCTGGTCTTCTTCTAATTTCATTTTTCCTTTAATTTCTTCTTGTTGCTCTAGTAGCTCTCCTATTATATTTCATCTCTGTTAATGATTTTCTGCTCCTTCACTGTAGTAAGTTTGACACTGGCAGCATATCTGGCCATGTGTGAGACATAAAGATAGACATTAAGTTGAAAAGGGAACAATCTGCCAGGTGTTCCTATTTTTCATTGCAAAAAATGTTTCATTATCCTTTTTACTAGGCTATTCAAGACAAAAAGGGAAAAACATAACCTCAAAACTGTTGACAAAACTAAAATAAAATCTCAAAACCATTTACCTGTTGTCATATCCAGTATGGCTGCCTGTCGGAGTTTCTTTTCCTTTTTCTCCCTCTCTGCCTTCTCTTTGGCCTCTTTGGCTCTTCTGATCTTTTCTTGCGTCTCCCTCATTTTAGCATTTTCTTTCAGAGCTTTCTAAATTAACAGTAATTAAGAGTAAGCGCAAGCAGTATACAAATGAGATATAAGATACTAATGAGAAAATAGTGAATCAAGGAAAGAGACAGAAACAAGCAAAGAGGCACACACAAGTAAAGATGTAGAAAAAAGCAAATAGACAGAAATGAGAAGAGAGACAGAAATAAGCAAACAGAGAGAAACAAGCAGAGACAGATGCATGCAAACAGAATTAAATGAACAAAGAGACAGAAATTAGCAAAGAGACAGAAACAAACAGAGATAGAAACAAGCAAAGAGAAATACATTTACAACGATACAAACAAAGAGACAGAAATGAAAAAGAGATAGAAACAAGTAGACAGAAATTAATAGAGATATAAACAAGGTCATGAGAATTTACGCTCTTAATGGGTAGAAAGCATTCAGAAGTCGCAGTTAACCCATCTGGATCTATACACTTGGGCATGCAGGAGTAAAAGATAGCTAACGAGCTGACCAGCTGACAAGTTATGTGCCAATGCATACAGGAAGTAGCTTGGACAGTTATATCATCAATGCTATATGGATTAGGCGGGGAGATAATGACGAATCTCTGATGCTAACATGACACTGTGACCTGGGAGTAAAGCTTGGTGAAGCAGCCATTTTCAAGGCCAAGATATGGAACACTATGACCACCTTCTCATAGGTGCAATCAGTACAGGTAGCTTGGAGTGGCTGCTGCATCAGAGGACAGCACACATGGGAATGCCCAATGTGCAGTGACGTCAATTGTGATAAGTTTACAAATGGCCTGACATGATTTGGTTTGAAACCATATGCATCAGGGCGAGACAAAAGGCCAACAAAGAAGAATAAAACTTACTTGTAAACCATCCTTGAAAGTCTTCATGTCACCAAAGAATTCCTCCATTGTGTACTTCTTGGGGTCAAAGGAGAAGTACTTGGCCGTACTCTCAAACAGCGTGTCCAGCTTCTTGTACATGGCACTCAGGAGCTCATGCTGCTGCTGCGCATCTTTCAAAAACACCTGGCAGCTAGTTAAGGGCACTTCTCAGAAAGGATGCAGATAAAGAATCTTCTTCTTCTTTGAGTTATGCTGCAGGGGGTGCGGGGGAGGACAAAGCTAACTCATACAGCAATAAGCTGTTAACTCCAGTGGAAAGCTCTGATTATTCGTCTATGTACGTCTACTTTCAAACTTGAGTCAAAACTTTGGGTTGTGAACATGATGCACCAATCAGATGTTTCACCAGCTGCTCTGATGGCTGCTTGTTGTTCTTGATAAAGATTTTCAATTAAATGCACTAAATGCGCTGGAAACCCCATACTTTTTATAATAGTCCACAGTTTGTGGTGTTGGACACAATCAAATGCCTTGCTATAATCAATAAAACAAGCATGAAGATCTACGTTGTATTCTCTGCATTTTTCAAAAATTATTCTCATATTAAAGATGTGATCCCTAGTTCCTCTACCCTGTCTGAAACCCGCTTGTGCTACATCTAGCTCATATTGTAATTTCCTTTAAATCCTTTTCGAATTATGAAATATCGGGGTCAATTCAGCTGTGGGCTATTTGGGCAGCAGACTATTTTGCATTGATATCATCAATGATGTGCAGAGCAGATCATTTATAAATCATTAGAAAACTACGTAAAATTTCCTAGCCAAAACACAAATGGCAAACAAATACTGGCGTTGGTTTGCAGTAAAAGATATGCAACTGTCTTTTTAAAGGAAAGATGCTCAAAATGTCCTGTCTCTTATTTATTGAAATAATTTGTGAAATGTACAGTACATATCATAGTTATTTTGGGAAACTGCAGACAGCTTGTGTAAACTAACCTTTCAAATTTAAACATTATAATTTACTTTTATAGCCATACCTCCCCCCAAATGGTACAGTAGGTGTGTATACACCATAGCTTAAAGGTTAGCGAATGCGGTTAACATTTTAATGAGTATTAGGGTTTTCCCCTGCGGCAGACGGTTTAAAAAAAATTGTTCTCGTGGTTTTCAGACAATGGTATGAGAGTCGTGCTGTGGAAGAGATTGGGGCCTCACTAAACAATATTCCCAAAGACAACAGAAGTGCACTGCAGCAAACGCCAACTGTGAATTCACCACAGCATTTAAGTTTGTGTTTTATTTAATAGGTGTACATCTTGAACCGATATATGGTAGGTGTTTTTTTTTTTTCTTCTTCTGTGTTTGCTTTTGAAACATGCTGTTGGTAAGTAGTGTTTTGGTTTACAGCTAGGCTGGATAGCTTTACCTTTCAGCCTAACATATCCAATTTTGGCAAATCCCTTTTTTCAAGACATGCTTGTTAGAGAAAGCAGAACTATTCTTTTTCCTGCAAATGTATCCCTGGAACCCACATGGGGAAATTACTTTTTGAAGGTGTCGATAGAAGGTGTCTAGTTATTATGTTTTGAACAACAGCAAAATGGGAGGCTGCTACACAAGACCGTTCTGGATGGCATACATCCCTCAGGCATCGTGCATGAGCCTGCTAGGTAGCGGAGGTCACACAGGCAGGGAAATGGAGGCAGGCTAATCCCATACTAACTGCGGCTTCCACTATTCAAGAACTTTCCAGGCTCATAATGGACTGATCAGCCACCTTTGTACTCGTAATCGCTGATCATTAGTACTTTGGATGAATGTGGTCTTCATCACTCATGATGGACGAGCAACACAGTTAGTTTGTTTAGCAAAACTATAAAGGATACTTTCATAACTTCTCCAAATTTGTCATCAGCATCATTGGACTTGCCCAGTGTCTTCATGTCCAGCTCCAAGTCCTTGATTTGCTTGCCCATGGCATTGATGTTCTTCTGGATTGTTTCTGATGAGACTGAAATCATAAAAGAAAACATTCTCATATAACTGCCTACCAGACTTAAAACAGCTTAATAAAGATAGTGTTATACTATACTATAAACAATAATAATTAACTTAGCTAATGCCAGGGATGAAGTTCCTCCTCTCCAGGACATAAAGCCTGGCGCTAATGCAATATGATACCTTCTCCGCCTGCTCTGTTAACTTCAAACAGAAGGTTGAATATTGAATGTTGAATTAAGAATCGACATCACAGCACTTGGGACACCCTCATAAGTGCTCCATCCCCTTCATCAGCAGCAAGTGAAGAGTTCTAGTTCCAATGGTACCAGTAACTGTCTGATTGTATATCCGTCTCACCTTTCTCCTGAGTGCCAGCCAGATCCCCTTGTAACTCCTCACAGTGCCATTCTCCCCAAACTGTAATCATCTATCTGTGTCTCCTCTCCATTCAATCAGTCTTTAAGAGCCCTCAGAACATCCAGCTTGTCATACATCAATTCACCACCAAGCAGTGCAGAACCCGCCAGTCTATCTGCCTGCTCATTTCCTAACACATTGGCATGACCTGGAGAAATTATCCAAAGGATGCTAACTACCCGGGACCTCTGAAGCTTGCCACTCAGCATGCCTGTCTCCACCTTTCTCAACCATCTCTGCGAGTCAGTTACAATCACACCTTGTGTGTACAGCTGATTCTCAAGCCAGTGGAAGGCAGCAGTGACTGCCTCCACTTCCATTCTCAAACTAGTCATTGTGATATCATATGCAAGGCTTTGCTGCACTAAGCTACATCCATTCGCTTTTGCTATGTACTCCCATACACTTTGTTTGCCCCTCAACAGAGAGCCATCTGTATAGGTAATCACATCACCTGGGCGGGAATTGTCATGAATCATTTGTTGAACTTCTGATTCTGCAGTGACAGCTGCCCAGTCCCTGCACTCACGACTCAAAAAAAGAAAGAAAGGGGAAGATAAAAGCAATATGTATGGGGGCAACATGCTGCAGAAACTGCTGAACCAGAAAAGCTGTGTTTTGTCTGTCTGCCTGTGGGAGCTTCCTTCCTAGACCAGTCGCCAACCAAAGCTAAGGGCCTGGTCTAAAATTAATTTTTTGGGCTGACTTTACTCTTCCTAGAATAGGGATAATAAGAATAAGAACAGCAACCCAGATGTTTTGAAAGAGGTGAATGCTTGAAGCCAACTTAATCACAAACATCAGAAAGAGACGGGTTTTTTTTTAAATTCCTACCACAAACAGGGAAAATCCACAGGTCACAGGACAGTCTTATATTTCAGGGGGTGGTAGATAGGCTGCATGCAGTCATGGGACTTAATTTGCATGCATTCGTGGGACCTAGGTTGCACTCTCTCATGAGATTTTAGTGGATTGGGGTTAGGTTCTGAAATTGAAAGGGGGGAAAACCCCTTATTAGTCATCTGTTATGAGATGCTTATTAGGGAAGGGTCTATCTCCACCCCTTTCCCCCCCCCCCCCCCCCCAAATCCTGGACCCAGAACCCACACTAGGAAACATCTTCTATGAAACACTGAAAGCCAGTCTTACCTCGAGCAGCTTTTTCCACATGTATCGTCTCGTCCAGGAAGCCAAGAATATCTGGATATTTCTCTTCTAAGATTTGTGCCAGAAAGTGAAGCATAGTCATGTTGCCATCTTGGCTTTTGGTGCCCTCAAGCTAAAATCAGAAAAAAAGGCAGAATAAGAATCTTTAAATAAAAATGCACACCGAGACTCCGAACTATTTTGTATCAATATGTTTAAAAAAACACGTTTTTAACAATTTATAAGAACTGGTAATAATTTTCACTTTAACTGTTTCCTCTTTTTCATATAATAAAGACATATTTATAAACACATAAAACTCCTCGTGTTGGTTCTGGGGTTCCACTATGGGGGGGGGGGGGGGGATAGATCCACCTTAACGAGCACATCATAAAAAGTGAGTAACTAAGTTTTACTGAACATAACGCTGTTTAAGTGGCAGCACAAAATGTCACATATAGACATATTGCTGTATAAGTGGTTGCAGACACAAATATGCTTATATTGTTTCATTTGCTAGGAAAATGAATTTGTATGAACCTGTTTTGGAAAACAAGAGTTTGCTAAATGAAGTATTTTAGTTGTCAAAGCTTGTGCAAGTGAGGTTTCATTTTGGAGTCAATTAACAGTATGATACAATTTTTGTGTTGTGTTTTTTTTTTTTTAAATTCAGTTCTGAAATTTGATGTCACACAAAAATGATCATAAAATGCAAAGTATTTAGATTAATTGTCTTAACATCAAAAAAAGAGAAGGTGATACATAATTGAACAGAGAACGCATGTGAATTCTCAGAGATGGACAGCAGTGTTCAATGTTGCTGATCAAGCACAAAACTTTGTTATGAAAAGCTTCAAAACTTAAATGTATGTCAAAATTTTGTGTTTCAATGCTGATCCTTAAATAGTTTATCCTTTCAAATGTGAAGTATAATGTTATAAAGAAATACTTTTTTTCAGTTTTACTTTGTCATGAAAATGACAGAATTTCTATCCCCACCAAAGGTTACAAAGATTTGCTGAAATCAATGCGATCGAAAAGCTCAGATATCCAACTTGCTATAAAAGATCAACCCTACAGTTTTTTTTAAGGGGGAGTAAAGAAGAAGAAACAGACCTTGGTTAAAAAGCTGATATCAAAACCAAATGATTCTGCATTTCGAGAGCCTGCATTCAGGTAGTTGCCCATCAGAAGCAATAGCTCCAGCAGTTTAGCAAACTTTCGGCTGTTCTTAATCTCATCAAGAGCCTCGGTGGCAGACACCAAATCCTGGGCAGAAATATCAATTTTCACAATGAACAGAATAATGAAATATTTTGGTCATATTAAAAAGAACATAACATTATTATCAGAAGCATACAGAAAGGTAAGAAATAAAATGCACCTTCTTCTTCTTATTGTACACTGGCTGTGAACACTTCAAGGACTTTGATCTTGTTCCACAACTTGAGTTCGCATGCACATCAGTTTTACAGATCTAGCTTTTTTGTATGCAGACTGTTGGTTTCTGTTGGTTTAAAGGGTATGCAGCAAGGGACAAGAGTTTTTAAACTGCAGAAATGTTAACATATCACATATTATAACCCTTGACCCACTAGCACAAAAAACTCTCGCCATCTTTCTGTCTTCCGCTTGTTGAAGAAGTGTTTTAATAATTTAGTCCTGTCCATTTCTTGATGTTGTCACTCCATGTTCTTCTTCTGCCCCCCCCCCTCTCCTTCGATCTATCGATCCCCCCCCCCCCCCCCCCCAATGTTCCTTGAAGTATAATACAGTCTTTGCAATCGAATCATGTCTCACCACGTGCCCAAACCAAACCAAACTAGCTTCTGATATTTCACCAATGCCAAAAGAGGCTCCTGATGTCCAGCAAGTCTATTTCGTTATAGTTTTACAATTAATTTGTTTTCTGTGAGGTTTAAACTGATCATTAAAAATACAAGCTACAGCAATATGGTTCTGATTTAGTTAGTAGTTAGTTAGTCTTTCCTCTTGAGCCTAAGGTGGCTCATAGGGCAGAGGACATTGCTCTCCATGTCTGGCGGTTCATTGTCACCTGTTTTAGGTCTTCAACGTTCATTAGGCCCATGGTCGAGCCCTCCCTGATGATGGTTCTATGCAGGGTCTTTCTTGATCTTTCCCGTTTTCTTTTTCCTTCCGGTGACCATATGAGGGCTTGAAGGAGGAGTCTTGTCTCATCCATTCTGAGCGCATGGACAATGGTTCTGAATTCCCATGCTCCAGCTGTGGAAGAATTCTCTGAACGCAAGCAGGTCTTGCTAGTCCCGCTTGCCACCACCAATGGAACCAGTACTTCCGACTGCAAGGTTTATTTTGGATGTCCTCACTTTCGCCACCCATTTGTTTCCCATCTCAGTGCCCGTTTTATTATTCTTTGTCAGCTTTGTCTCAGAAAATGCCTTCTTCTTTCTATTATAGCTGCTGGCGCCAGTAGCTGTCCAAACATTTCTCTTGACTTTTTTTCACCTTTCTTGTATTGAAAGGAAGACAGAATTTGACCTGGACGAGTGATGGCTGTAATGAACACTAAAAAAAGTTTACCCTGAAAGCTTTTCAGTGTGAGTGAATGAAACAAAGTTTATAGCAACTGTATGGAAAACAATTTTTTTCTCTGTTAAAGTTTGTTGCATATCTTTTACAGGACTTTGCAAACCAGATCCAGCATTTTATGTTTTTTTTTTTAAAAAGGTAATTTTACGCACAATAGTTTAACCTTTGCTTTCTTTACAATCAACATTCATATCTTTGATGAAATCAACACAAAATGGTCTATGGCCACATCAACTGCAGCTGTAATAAACCAGGAATGTTGAAATTATTAAACTGTCCTCATAATTAAAAAAAAAAAAAATTACTTAAAGTTCAGATAAATTTTTTTTAAATATATATAACATTAGTTAAAGGACAGACAATTGTAAGCACACATGTAAACACACAAGTAGCCATACACACTCACACATAAAAAATCAGACACACATGCACATACACAAGCAGAAATAATGCAGACACACAAACACATACATACACGAGCAGCAGACATACACGCATGCCCCCGCTTGTGCCCGCGCACACACACACACACATACACAAGTAGACATACATGCACACACACATACAAACAAGTAGACATACATTTACCCACACACACAAACACAAGTAGATATACATGTGTGCACACACACACATAGAGACAACCAACTTACAGGTTTAATATCTGATACAAGTTCGGGAAATCTCAACTTGAACAAGATGGAATTAAGGCGAGGTACAAGGCGCTTGATACCTGACATCTGGAAATACAAGTTGTAATGATCTGAATGGACACAATAACAGCAAACAAGTTCTGGGTGGGGCCCACAGGGATAGGATGATACTTTTTCAGATATGCATGTTTGGTCTGTGTGAGAGGAGGAGGATGTGAGTAAGTGAGAGTGAGAAAGGGATAGAGAGTGTAAGAAAAAGATAGGGTGGTGAGAAGGAGGGGGGGGAGCGTGGATAAGAAAGTGATAATAAGAAAAAGGATAGGGGGGAAAAGAGAGAGAGGGATAGGGGAAAAAGAGAGGAGGGGCGTGTGTGAGAGTGGGAAAGGGACAGAGAGTGAGAGAAAGAGAGAGATGGAGAAAGAGGGAGAGTGTGAGAAAGTAACAGTGAGAAAGGGACAAAGAGCAGATGTGTGTGAGTGTGGAAAGGGGACAGAGAGTGAGAGAGAGACAAAGAAAGGGGAAAGAGTGTGAAAGAAAGTGATAGTGAGAAAGGGATAGAGTGTGAGAGAGAAAGGGATAGGGGAGGGGGGGGGGATAGGGGAGGGGGGGGGGGGGGTCATGTGAGAGAGTGAGAAAGCTACACAGAGTAAGAGAAATAGAGAGAGGGGAGTGTGTGAGAAAATGACAGCGAGAAAGAAACAAAGAGTGAGAGAGAAAGAGAGAGAGAGAGAGAGAGAGAGACAGAGAAAGAGAGACAGAGTCAGTGAGTAAGTGTCACTAACATAGTGAGTGCCAGAGTGTGAGCCAGTGTGCCCGCGCACGTGCGCGCGCACGCACGCACGCGCACACACACACATGCACACACGCGCACATGCACGCACGCGCACACACACACACACACGCGCACACACACACATATATAAAGAAAGATGAAAACAGAAAATACACTTTTTAAAGTAAAATATTAATGATCTGATATTGGTTTACCTTACATTCTTTTCTACTTAACATAGGTGATTGTACCAGTTTGCAACTGTTTCTGAGGCAGACAAATGGACAGATAGACAGAGAAAGTGACAGAGAGGCAGAAATGACAACAACAACAAAATAGAATTATACAATGTTTCAAGGCCAGTCTTATCTGAGATAGAAATAGAAAATAGCTTAAGCAAGTGGGAAATAAACTGAAGAGGAAAAAACGTAGAAGAAAGGAGACAGGCAGAGTGAGAGAGTGAGAATTGGAGAGTGTGTTCATTTAGAGAGAAAATGAGAGAGTGTTTTTAAATTTAATCTTTTATGCAGCCACTGTTGGGTCACCATAATGCTGAGAATTTATTAGGAGACTGTTAAACTGTAACATGATATGATAATAATTGTAGCTGTCATGAAAACTAACTACCAGCAATAGGAAATCAACCAAAATAAACAACATGTAAAAGATAATCAACCGATTACAACAGAAATCAACCAGTTAATTAGAGAATCAACCACTGCAATAGCAAGTCAACCACTGCAATATAAAATCAACCATCTGCATAGGAAGTCAACCATTGCAACAGAAACATCAACCGGTGCAACAGAGTGTCAACCACCACAATAGAAAATCAACCGTTGGAAATAGAAAATCAACCACTACCAGCAGAAAATCAGCTGCTTGCAATAGAAAAATCAACCACTTGCAATAGAAATTAACCCTTTTTCATAAAAAATCAACCATGTGCAATAGAAAATCAACTAAAGCTAACAGATAATTCACCAAGAGGAACAGAAAAATTAACCACCAGCAACAGAAAATCAACCACCTGCTTTACACACAAAACAAACCACGTGTGATAAACCACTTACAGTGACAGCAAACTTGCTCTGGTTCTGCCAACTCTGCATACACGTCTTTGAGATCTGCCAGCTTCTTCATATCGTCTGGCTCTGGAATGCCTTTGATCAGCTGCTCTAACATGTTTGTCGTCAGATTCTCTTCATCAACCGCCAAAATCCGACGTCTGATTTCCTCAAAAGGAAGTTTCATGGAACTCAGCAGAATAGCTGTGGAAACAAGCAAATTAATCTGAATCAAGCATGTGCTCGTTGTGAAGCATGATATGCTGAAAATTTATGACAAGTTATAAAACATGGAAGAGAACTAAACACATTCCAGTGAATCAAGAGGTGAGGAAAAGATGCTGTCAGTGGATAGCCAATCTCTTACCTTAACACAAATCTATGACCTGGAAGTAAAGTGTGGTGAAGCAAATCTATGCCATCTTCAGGGCCAAGATAAAAGACTAAATAATCAACTCCTCACGTGAAAATACAGTAGAGGTACTTTAGTGTGGCTGCTGCATCAGAGAACTGAGCACATATGAAAATGTCTAATGTGCAATGACGTTGATTGTGACACTGAGAAAACCCGAGAACAAAGATAACTTAAAGGATTTTACACCTGAACCCACAAAGGGCATAAAAATAAAGGTAAATGAAGAAACACACGGAAAAGGAAAAAAAAAGACCAGGATGACATGGGGTAAGCTGCATGCTATGGTAAAGTACAGACAATGTAGCAGGAATTGGTTGATAGCTTATGCTCCACTGAAGGTTAAAGGGCACAAGAACAGAAAACCATGTACCTTGCTCTCAGTACAGACTACAGTATTGAGATGGCCAAACCATTTCACTGGTAGCTTTTTAAAACTTTCACTACCATACAATTCACCATAAAACTCATTAGCTAATCAAAAAGACAGTTTACATTTCTAACTCTTCTTTTATCATAGTCAGTTCCTACACTAACTAATTAACTCTTTGTGGACTAATCGACTAATATGAATTGATACATGACAAGGTAGATGTGGTCAAGGCCCTTTGGGAACAAGCAACAGAATCAGTAAAGAAAGAAGATTATTATGGAGTGGAAAGAATGAGGCACCTTGATGTAACCAGGGGTCTGGCAGGCTCAGAGGAAAGCCAAGACGGACATATATAACCAGACTGTGACCAGTACTGGAACTCTGCGCTAGCTGCTGAAGATGAGGAGCATGCATGGAAATACCCCGTGCTGTGATGTCAATTCTTGACTTAACTCAACTCAACTCATTTCTCTTTAATTTGATATACTATATGTCCCTATACAGCCAATACTTTTTCTTCAGGAAGGTTTTAGCTTTGTCATGTTGCAGTAAAAACATTCTGCTCAAAATAAATTCTGTTCAAACCCCCCAAAAAAAATGTGGTCCTCAAAGAGTTAATCTGAGATACTAGTTTTACTCCTTTTGCCCAAAATGTTATTATTTTAAACATTGCAAAATTTAAATCAGAGCTCCACCGGATAAAAGGAGTTTAGGAAATGTTAGGCAAGTAACAAAAGAGTTAAAGTCTAACAAGTCACCAAAGAACAACAAATGAAGTGGTTTGGACACCTAACAAGAATGACCTGGTACTATCTACCACAGCAAGCCATACTCAAACGTTACAACGGGTATAGAGTGAGCGGAAGACCTCAGAAAATATGGAGTGGTGGCATTAAGAACAGCCTTACAGAAATGAACATCAATCTTAACAGTGCTCTTGACAGAGCTCATCAACGAACGTTACATCTCCCCCCGACACTTCACTGACGTACAAGGTGGAAGAGAAGAAGAACAACAACAACAAAAGAGTAACGAACTTTGTTTGTTTGGTAGTCTTTGTCTTCTAATCTCCTAATCTAAAAATCAAATTAACTGTTCAAAACTTACACAAGTTCTGGCCTGACTTCATGTCCAGTACCTTAAGCTCCTTCCCTTTCTTTGCTGGCTTTTTCTCCGCAGTTTCTGAGACTTCTTTCTTTGCTGAGAACAGACAATTAAACACCTCAGCATGTAACAGTAGGAATATTCAGTATATACATTATATATTTTTCATAGTGAACATAGAAGGCGAACACCCACCAGACAATATCAGCTTTGAACTATTTTTACTTTTTTTTTCCCCATCATCATCATGTAGCAGGTCCTATGCAGAACGTCGCTCTCATCACAGTCTGCCTGAAAGAAACTGGGTCTCTCCCCAGCTCTCCCGCCTCATGCACTTTCATATCCAAGGACTCACTTATATTCTGTGCCCATCGTGTTGGTCGGCCCCTGCTCCTCCTTCCTGATACCATGCCTTTCCGTATTATTTTTTTTCCTAATCCACTGTGGTTCTTGATATGACCAAAATTTTTCAGCTTCCGCTTTCCCCATACACACATTTATTCTGAAACACATACCATATTTGTCGGTTTATAAGACAATCCCGTTTTTACACACACCAGAAAAATTGAATGACATCTACACACACAAAGATTCAGATTTACAGAAAAAAATAACTAATATTATGACTTCAGAAGCTTCTAAATTCACCCATTGCGCTTTATAAAGTGGTAATGCCACACCAGCCCAGAGCCCCCCCCCCCCCCCAATCTAAGTCTAACTTGCAAATGTAACTTACTAAATGAAATTACTGACTGATGTGATCAGCAACACAAAGAAATAATGATGCAATAAGCATTCAGGAATTCACAATTTCTGTATCATGTGGTGATATCCATCCATCCATCCATCCATCCCTCCTCCCTCCCTCCCTCCCTCCCTCTCTCTCTCTCTCTCTCTCTCTCTCTCTCTCTCTCTCTCTCTCTCTCTCTCTCTCTCTCTCTCTCTCTCTCTCTCTCTCTCTCTCTCTCTCTCTCTCTCTCTCTCTCTCTCTCTCTCTCTCTCTTTCTTAGGCACGTTACCACTAAAAACAAAAGAGCAGGTGCAAACACCACTCTGGAGTTAAAAAATGACCTGCAATTTTTTTTCAGAAGACAGGAGCGCCAGGATGAGCTGTCAGATGCAGTGACTTCCGAGGTTTTAGGATCAATACAGAAGTCTTTCAGTGAGGTCTTGAGGTTGTCCTTAAAATGTTTCTTAGGTCCACCTTAAGAGAGTTTTTCCTTTTAGTAGCTCACCAGAGAAAATAAAGTTAAGTCCTATTACCTGCCTCTGCTGCACAGAACATTGCCTGGTACTCATTTTTAAGTTGTGTAACCTAGGAATCCGGGCCAATCTTAAATATCTGCTTGGATGGGGATTCAACATTAGGAAACCATGCTGGCAGCATTGTGTCGTAGCCACTGCAATAACTATCTTCCTTTTCTAAGTCGGATGGGCTTGACTGGGGGTGTAAAGTTTCCATGTGTGGCAGACATAAAAGGCGAGAGAGCTGGCAGTGGACCGAGCGACTTTCTGGCATGCCAGGGTGTGAGTGACATTCTTCAACGAACCTGCTATCTAATGACGATGATCAGCATTTACATAATTTATGATAATGGATTTGTTTATATATTGGGTTCTTTTCTTTTAATTCATCCCCATCTTGGAGACTCCGAGATTTTGTGGTGAGTTCCCAAAAAAGTCCAATATTAATGGGGTGTTAGGGTGTGAAATGAACACTGACAAACTCTAACCACCCTACAATAATGGAATTTCTCTGGAACTCCACAAGAAATCTCGGAGCTTCCGAGATAGGATGAACTAAAAGAAAAGTACCATTTATTTTATCTCTGAAGGAAATGTTATATTATGTGACACGCAATGTGTTTAAAAAAAAGACTAAAATCTCTACATACGAGGTGCTTTTGTGGAGAACAACAACTCCAAATTGCTGAAAATGTCTGGGCTCTCAAACTGTTCTTCATGCAGCTGCACCCAGATGGAATCTTTCTCCAGATTTTTGGGGTTTACCTGTGAGAAACAAATTATAAACATTGAAGTATATGGCCATTTATAAATTAATTTTGGGATTTATCTAGAAGAAACAAATTATGAACACTGAAATTTATGTTCATTTCTTCTTCTTCTTTCTTTCTGGCAGATGCTCGAGGCTCAGAGGAAAGGCAAGACGGACTTTCAATCAGAATGCTACTGGCACCATTAGTATCGGAACTCTTCGCTGGCTGCTGAAGATGAGGACGAAGTGCTTATGGGATTGCCCTGAGTGCTGTGATGTCGGTTCTTGAATCAAATCAAATCTTCTTTTGCCCCTTGAAAGAACAGCTGGCGCGCTACATTGTAGTTTTGCAGCTAGGGCGCAACATCTGTATCTTTTAGCCCAACATAAACCCTTCTGACAACCCTTCATTAAATTGCCTTGCATGTTGTTTATGATTTTACTATGGGCTATTCTTGAGGATTATGAGAACCAAAGGACAACTGCTGGATAACAGCATAGTTATGTACCACACTTCCTAAAGTGCAGTGAGAACACAAGAAGGCATATCTGATAATAAATACAGGGTTGAGGCTGGGATGTGTGCTCTCTTTCCTCTCTTATTTAATATTTGTATTTATATAAACTGGCTGGCCGAGCGGTTAGAACGCTGGGCTCTCACACGGGGAGACTCGGGTTTGAATCGTTGGTGAGGCTGGGAAATTCTTGTCGGGGGAAAAATAAAATCCTCACCTGCACAATCATAGTGACAGCACTAGCCATGCGGCCGTAAATTATCAGACTCAAAGACCCCCTGCCTAAACCACAAAAAGTGGTATCACAAAGGCAGTTATTGGCAGTTATATATATAAAATATCAAAAGAAGCCAGCTTTAAAGCAGTCGACTAAGAAAAATCCAGAAAATGAGGAACTTCACTTTCCAGAGGAAGAATTAGATCCAAATAAACAAGTTACTATTTAAAGACAATCAGTACCTGTTCTACAACGAGAGGAGTAGACAGAAAGACCATCTGAATAGGTCAAGTTCAACATGCAAAAGATATAACACAAAAGTAATTACTACCAAAACTGAACTAATACAGATCAGTAGAATTCCTATGTTACATTTAGGGTTGAATGGTACTTGTCTGAAGCAAGTTAAAGAATTTAAATATCTAGGAAGTATATTCTCGGAGGGCAGAAGAATAGATTGGAAAATAGAAACAAGATGTCAATGAGTCAGTGCACTGACAACATTATTAAGACATCAACAAATTTTTTTTTTTTTTTAATATCCAGAAACCATGAGTTGTTAACCCTTTGGCCCGGTACTATGGAAATCGCAACCCTTCGACGCTGATTCCATGATAGATACCGTAAATCTGGGGGAATGTGGCTTTTCTGCCTACCCCTAGGGCATGAAACCGGACCACAAGGAGTTCGTCACCCGGTCTCCTCGACGTCAGGTTTAACCAACTGTGCTAGCGAGTCAAGCGACACATCCATATATACCTATGAGCCCCAAGAAACATATTCAAAACAGCATATTCATACCAGCACTGTGCTACTAGTGTCAGACTTAGACATTATCAAAAGCTAACCTACGTAAAATTACCATCTGTGAAATGAGATGGATGAGAAAAACCGCTAATTTTACCAGCATTGACAAGGTTAGAAATGATATTATCAGACAGCCTGTAGAGACAACAGCATGCAACAAGTTCGTTGAGAAACAGAAGATCGAATGGTTTGGTCATCTTGGAAGAATGCAGCCAGAACAATTACCAACTCAGGCGCAACACATGAGAAGATCTCATGTGAAAGCAAGAGGTTGCCCTAGGAGAAAATGGATTGATGACATTACATCGACACAGAAGACAGCAGCCAATGCTGTCCACCAAGCAATGGATCGTAAACTGTGCCTCCACATAACGCTTAACCCTTTTGAGACGGAGCCTTTTTTTTAGTTTCAGCGCCAAAAATACGAAGCCTTCAGGGGGAATTCTCTTAGTTTACACACAAAAAATGTATTTTTAAAAAAGTGTTTAATTAACATGTGCGGCAGACATAAAAAGCCAGAGAGTTGGAAGTGGACCGAGTGACTTTCTGGCATGCCAGGGTGTGAGTGATATTCTTCAACGGACCTGCTATCTAATGATGATGATGAATCAGCATTTACTAAATTTACATTTAATTAACATATACAAAACATATATATATGTGTAGGAAATTGAATGAGCTAACAGAATATTCATGAATAAAACTGAAATCTCAACATTTATTCAAATAAACTATTCTGATTTACATAATTTATGCAAGCATTTTTTTTTCACTTGGGAACAATTTGTTGATGCATGAAGAGTGAATAAGTCCTAACACTTGGGTTTTGGGAAGTAAGGCTCTTTAGACACTTCTGGCACATGATTCTACTAATTTTCCTGCCCTCAGCTATGTTTCGGCTGCCATGATGCAACAGTCTTTTTTGCCACTGTTGGGCACAGGTAACCCCACCAAAAAATTACTGAAAAATTACAGAACACATCAAACTTTCTCAAAAGCCATCACTGACAGCCCAAATGTGCAAGAAATTCAAGAAGCAACCTGACTGACTGGTACGAAAACCTGCCAGCCAATCTCAAGGTTTTGTATTATATAGGGCCGATTGATCGGCCCATTCGTCTTTTTGGCTATTTTGTGTTGGGCCGATAAATCAGTCGCCTCGTTTCCAAAGGGTTAAAGGCTGAAGTGGAAATTGATGATCATCATCATCAAGACTCATATTATGTGTCATATTATATACACTGCCATATAGTCTTCAAATTGATGAAAGACAGATCTTAAACAGAAAGAAAATCTTAACTCTTTTTGTCCCATAAGGTGTTTGTGCAAACATAAAAGTTTTTTTTTAACTACATTTTGCCAAGAAAACTAACCACCTGTTTTGTTATGGGAATGACATATGAATGAAAGATACCTATGTGGTTGCCAGATTTATGTAGTGTACAATGACCAAAACTTAAATATAAGAAGACACTTGATGTGATGTTTGAGACATGTGGTAACAGTCAGTGACATATTATGCAATCTTGGAACTATAAGTATTATTGGCCTTATTTACAAATGTCGGGAAGCACTTACTTTTGTCCAGTTCAATCTCTTTGTCTGGGCACTGGTGGTATATTTTTTCTTTGGTGCCATTCCAAAGGGCAGCTGATTGGAAGGTGCTGCAGGAGCAAACAGACCAGGAGGAGGTGGCGGACCCATCCCTGGTGGAGGAGGAGGCCCCATTCCTGGCGGTGGGGGTGGAGGAGGAGGTCCCCCTCCAGGTGGGGGTGGAGGTGGTGGGGGACCAAAACCAGGTGGAGGAGGTGGAGGAGGAGGTGGAGGTGGGCCTCCACCACCAGGAAAAGGAGGAGGTGGTGGTGGGGGTGGAGGAGGAGGGAGTCCCCCAGGTGGAGGTGGTGGAGGAGGTGGTGGTGGAGGCCCTTCACCACCTCCACTTTTGTTCAGGACTTTGCTGATGTTATCACCTATGCCTTGTTTTATCTGAGAAAGGAATATTCACACCTAGAGTAATTATATTATCTGTCAAGTTCTACATGTATTCTAGAGAGAATCTAGATTCACAGCTAGAGTAAATATATTCGCTGTCAAATTCTAAAATGTATTCTATGGAGAATCCAGATTCACAGCTAGAGTAATTATAGTCTCTATCAAGTTCTACATGTATTCTGTAGAGAATCTAGATTTATGGCTACAGTAATTATACTCTCTATCAAGTTCTACATGTATTCTCTAGAGAATCTAGATTAATGGCTACAGTAATTATATTCTCTCTCAAGTTCTGTATGTTTTCTGCAGAGAATCTAGATTTATGGCTACAGTAATTTTATTCTCTATCAAGTTCTACATGTATTCTGTACGGAATCTAGATTTATGGCTACAATAATTATATTCTCTATCAAGTTCTACATGTATTGTAAACGGAATCTAGATTTATGGCTACAGTAATTATATTCTCTATGATGTTCTACATGTATTCTGTAGAGAATCTAGATTCACAGTTACAATAATTATATTTTCTATCGTTATACATTTATTCTAGATTGAATCTAGATTCACAGCTACAATAATTATATTGTTCATCAAGTTCTATAAGTATTCAACAAGAATCTAGCTTCTTCTTTTTCTTCTCTAGCCCTGCTCTGCCTTTCTGGTATGTGCTACGTAGTAGCCAGTATTTAAGGCCCCAGATACTGCCTCCCTCTGTCACTTGCATGGCAGGGCACTATCTGGTGGTATTGTTGACACATGGTGGAACCATTTGATCTGTTGTCTCTTGATGTAGTTATAAACTGGTTCCATCCCAACTTCTTTCCTAATATCTTCATTTCTGATCCTGTCTCTTCTAGTCACATTTAGGATTTGTTGTAGACAAAAAGATTAACATCATTATGTATGTATATGTGTGTCTATGTGCGTGTGTGTGTGCATACGTGTGTGTGTACATGTACGTATACATATATATATATACTCACACACAAACATATATGTGTGTGTGTATAAATATATATATACACACATTTTATATATATCTAAATGTTCTGCAAATATGCTCTGAGGATATAGATTCATAGTGTGTGTGTGTCTGTATCTGGGTGTGTGTGGGTGTTGTGTGGGTGGATGTGTACATGCATGTATGTGTGCAATCTGGTGTGGGGGTGCTCGAACAAGTTCAACTCATATTCTCTGAAAACGCTATTACTGTTCATTCCACTCAGAAGTCCTCCACATACAAAATCTAATGGCACAACTAATGGTACATGCTGGACCTCGATCAAAATGGCTGGGTCTACAATGGGTTGGGAGATTTCTTTTAGCTTCAGCTGAACAATTTCAAGTGATACCTACACACACCCACACAGGTCCTTATGGCGAAGTGGTCAAGCCGTTTGCCTAGCACTCTCTGAGGGTGTTCAATTCTCGAGTGCAGTTTTTTCTTTCTTTTAAAGGAGATCCCTGGGGGATCATCACAGAGTTTGTGCTATGAAGAAGACGAAGAAGTGTCAACATTTCTTTTCTTCTGGGTCCTTGGCATTCTAACAATCCTTCTGTATCATTTCAGCTCAAAAGCCCAGATTTTCTTCCTTGAGGATTGTGAGATAGTCCACAACTGACATCTACACGTTGCTCTCAAAATGCTTGCCGACTTTGATCTGCTTGCGTGTTCATAGAGATAAGCTTTGAATGCTGCTTTGAGGGAGCCAGACATTTAAAAAAACAAAAAGGACCTCGACTTCTAGGACGAGCCAGCCTTAAATAGATACCAGGTAAAGTCCTGGGAAGTCAAGGTGGCCGGCAGGATGTTGACCACATCGTGCAACAGGTGCAGATTTGTCTATACAACAAAGATCTACCTCTATATAATCTTTTTAAAACAAAAAACTTTTCATTATTAAAAGGAATGACAAAAGTCATCGCTGCCCACACAGCAAAGGACCACAAACTGTTCCTTCCTACAATGTTTAATGGCAGAAGTGGAATTTTAATGAGATGATGATTGATGATGATGATTGATGATGACTGATGATTGATGATTGATGATGATTGATGATGATTGATGATGATGATGATGATGATGATGATGATGATGATGATGATGATGATGACGACGACGACCTCATCTCCTAGAGAACATAGGCCGCAAAATCCAACCAAACATGAACAAATCCACATAAAGCATGAATGAGTTTGCCAAGGGCCTAGGCTCCATTTCGAGAGATACAAGACAGAGAAATGGGAGTGAGAAGGCAACTGACTCACCCCTTCTTTAAGCTGTTGCAGTTCAGCCTCATACTGCTGCAGTTTGCTCTCTAGGCTTGTTGCTTTAGCTTCAGCCTCCTGTTTGGCAGTCAGGGCAGTGTCTAATTTGACTGAGATGTCAGCTATGCTCAGATCAGCTCCTGAATCTTCAAACTTAGAGCTTCCAGTCAGGCTGCCTGTTTATATAAGGATCATAAGTATAATCTAAAGTGACAGGGACACATGCATAAACTAATGTTGCAAAGATCCCTATGTGGGTTATGGGGTTCCAATGCCACATAATAAGCAGGACATAAATGAGAACTACCAAAAAGAGATTTGTTAAAATCGGATGAACTGGGCAGAAAGCTATGTCACAGCCTAGCTATAAACCACAACACAATGTGCCAACCACTCTCTTTGAGGGAGAAGGGAGATGATGAAGAATAAGAGGGAAAGGTACTGACAAAGAATCGTAAGCAAATAAGATTTTACTAGCTTGGTACTTAGAAGCACCAAGAAAAGTTGTTTTTCCTGCAATACTGGTATGTTCCGGTCAAGGATAGTGTTCGAGCTTGTCTTGAATGCCGTGTGGTGTCAAATCTTTAGCAAGATGAACCCAGAAAGTGAGAATATACTAGCAGCCTGGAATGTTGAATGTTGAATTAAGAATCAACATCACAACACTCAGGACACCCCCATAAGCGCTCCGTCCCTATCTTCAGCAGCAAGCGAAGAGTTAAAGTTCCGATGGTACCAGTAACTGACTGTATATCTGTCTCGCCTTTTCCATGAGAGTCGAGCGTCGGCCACACCCCTTGCAACTCCTCGCAGCGCCATTCTCCCCAGACTGTGCCTATGTGCGCCTCCTCACTGTTCACTCGCTCCCAAGGGGCGCTCACAATATCCAGCTTCTCATACATCAGTTTACCACCAAGTGGTGCAGGACCGGCCAGTCCTGCTCATTTCCCAACACACTGGCATCACCTGGAGAAAATATACCGGCAGCCTGGAAAGATGCTGTAATACTGCTGATATTTCTCCTTCATTAATGCTTAACCTCTCTACTACTAGTTCATTCGATACCAGCATATGGTTCTCTCCTCCATGAACAGAATCGTGAATATAAGTTTCTGGAGGATCCCCTGTGATTTAGTCATTAAAAACATTCTGAACCTCCTACAACATTTAACATATATCAGATACTTCTTCTTTTTCTGCATTAATGAGAAGGCATAAATGTGTTGTGCTTGTTTTTAACATGGCTGTGGAATCTGTGTTTTTTGGCTGACACATCCAACTTCTACAGACATTTTTATTTTTGCCTGAGAATCTGTGCCTTTTGGCTGACACATCCAACTTCTGCAGACATGTTTGCCTGAGAATCTGTGCCTTTTGGTTGACACATCCAACTTCTACAGACATTTTTGTCTGAGAATCTGTGCCTTTTGGCTGACACATCCGACTTCTGCAGACATTTTTGCCTGAGAATCTGTGCCTTTTGGTTGACACATCCAACTACTGCAGACATTTTTGCCTGAGAATCTGTGCCTTTTGGCTGACACATCCAACTTCTGCAGACATTTTTGCCTGAGAATCTGTGCCTTTTGGCTGACACATCCAACTTCTGCAGACATTTTTGTCTGAGAATCTGTACCTTCTGGCTGACACATCCAACTACTGCAGACATTTTTGCCTGAGAATCTGTCCCTTTTGGCTGACACATCCAACTTCTGCAGACATTTTTGTCTGAGTTAGCCTTGCCGGTTAGATAGCAGATACAATAAGCAGCCCTTGTAATCATATCCCAAAACACAACTTAGCATCTGACAAGAATCAATCCCACAAAAAAGAAGTTTATTCACGAGATAAAAATAACTGGTTATTAATTATCTTTCAAACTTACTTAGCAGAGGCTCAACGTCAATGTCAAATTTTGTAGCCCTGAAATCTGGATCGCAGCCACTCCGGTGAAGGACAATTTGGGTAATGCACTCTTCTATCAACTTGTAGTACTGAGGTCTGTAGAAAATGTAAAAATGCATTTTCTAAAGCTGTTCACTAATGTTTGTAAAAATATGTGTAATACCTTACATCTGAATACATATGGAGGAGACATTTGTTATGTAAAAGAAATATCACAAGACTGGTTACTATATACATTAATCATAATCTACTGCATCAAGTTTTTTTTTAATGGGGGGAGGGGGTGGGGTGGGGGGGGGGGTGCGCCAGAAATGACAGAGAAAATATGCCACAGCAAAGAAAAGTATGAACATCAAAAGTGACAAATAACAGTAGTGAATGAGGGATTTTGAGTGACATGGTCACCTACACCAGCATACAAGAACTAAAACTGATTTTCACTGAAGAAACTAGTGCCACTTTACATGTCTTGCTAGACAGTGATACCTTCTGTGGTATTTTCTTTCAACATGTAAGCTTTTCTATTAAACTAAACATCATTACTCATTTTTTACCAAAAGTATGATGAGCAATTGTAAAAGTGAGGGTCCCTTTTTGTGCCATTGGCAAATTGGGCAGATGAGTTAGACTCATAGTTAATAGACCAATCATCTCTCATTGGGTTATGTGGTAAGCATCATGCCGGCCACCTTTACTAAAAACAAAAAACAAAACAAACAACAAAGACACATATATTAAATGCACAAGGCAGCCACCAGATTAGCTTTATAGAAAAAAAATCCCCTGTCCCACCACCCACTCAACTCAGTAGCTAGGCAATGGAACTATATATATATATATATATATATAAATATATTTATATATTTGTTTGGTTTGTTCTCTATTTGTTGTCCAATTCAGTTTTTCCTAGGGGTTGAAACAACCAACCTTCCACTGGATTACAAGAAAGAACATGGTCCACTGTGAATGTGAGGCAGGCTTGAGCAAGAGAGGCTTAGAGACATTAAGAGTCTTATATTGAGCATCACTGCTCCATTAGGACCCCAATGTATATGCTTGTGTATGTCTGTGTTTATCTGCTGTGTGTGCAACTATGACATACAATACAAGTGCATGTGTGTTCACTCTTTCAGTCCTAAGGAATGCATCACACGTTCATAGAAGCCTAATGAACGCAAGATGCACCGATTATACCTTTCTCTGTACTACTCCTTGGACCCATGATGCTAAACTTCCTGGAACTGAAGGAGTTAATTAATATACCTGCATGAACATCTCATAAAAGTTCCGTCAAAGATCCCAACAGAGCACAGACCCTCACCTGCCAAAACTCTTGTAGACATGCTCATGACTGCTTGGATTTGATGCTTTCTATGTCATGAGGCAGCCAGTTTCAGTCAACCCTCCTTAACTCATTCTTCTACTTTTTTTAATTCTTCTTTGGTGTTCGGCCTTAAAATGGCGGCAGGCACTATATGTTTATTTACAGCTAGGCACAGATAGCTATTTTTGTCTAATACATAGATTTCAGCACAAATTTAGTCACCTTTAACAACACAGCTAGTTAAGATGCAGTGGGTCTATCCCCCCCCCCCCCCCACCCTAACCCCTTTTTCTCCTCAAATGGGGTCCTGGTAGCAACATAGGGATTACTCATTTAGCCTCAGTTTACCATGCATAAAGTGGTTTATTCATACTCATTCAGCATCAGTTTACCAAGCATATAATGGTTTATTCATACTCATTCAGCATCAGTTTACCAAGCATTTAGTGGTTTATTCATACTCATTCAGCCTGTTTACCGTGCATATAGTGATTTATTCATACTCATTCAGCATCAGTTTACCATGCATATAGTGGTTTATTCATACTCATTCAGCATCAGTTTACCATGCATATAGTGGTTTATTCATTACCTATTTTTTTCCAAACAGCCCCCCCCCCCTCCCCCTAACCATGTAACTGTTAGAATTACCCATGCTATTCTAAATATGTCCTTAAGAAAGAAACAAGGGGCTTTTGAGCTGAAATGCTACAAAAAGATTCCCAGAATACCATGGACCAATGAAAAAAAAAGAAATAATGACATCCTACAAGATCTGAATATCAAGGAAAACTGGCTAGTAAACAGCAACCTGTCTCGGAAACTGAAATATTTTGGCCACATCAAGTGTCACAGTAGACTGGGAAACAAATAATAATAGAAGGCATGGTACCAGGAAAGAGAGGCAGGGGTTGACCAGCATGAGTCTGGAAAGATGGTCTCATTGCAAAACTGAAGAGAAATGGAATCCAAGGAAACATGCTAAAATGGATCCAATCCTTCTTACACAGCAGGAGAACTAGAGTCAGTCTTGATGGCCAGCAGAGTAGAAAAGTCTTACTCCGGCAAGGAGTACCACAGGGAGGAATTATCTCTCCAACTCTCTTTCTTGTGTATATAAATGATCTGGTGAAAGACCTCCCTACAGGAGTAAAAGCTGCCCTGTATGCAGATGATCTGGCACACTGGTGTACCGATGAACACACCACAGTGGCAAATATAAGAATGCAGCGAGCAGCAGATCTCTTGATGACATGGGCAGAAAAATGGCATGTTGCCATCAACACAGACAAAACATCCACAACGCTTTTCTCTCTTTCCCCCAGGGACAAAGCTGCTAGTATTCACCTAGGAACATCCTTGCTAAAGGAAGAAAGCTTCCCCACTTATCTTGGAGTAACATTTGATAAAAGGCTCACATGGAGCAAACATATAGAAAATGTAGAAGGGAAAGCCAGGAGACGACTAGGCCTACTTAGAAAACTAGCAGGTACAGGATGGGGAGCGATTGGAAAAACCCTAAAGAAAGTTTATAATGGAGCGATAAGACCCCACTTGGAGTTTGGTGCAACTGCATGGTCAACAGCTGCTAATTCCCATCTACAATCGTTAGACAGAGTGCAAAATCAAGCTCTTAGACTCATCACAGGATCCATGAAAACTGCACCAATCCTGAAGATGCAGAAAATAACTGCAATGCAGACACTGTCCTATAGAAGAGACACTAAAACTATGATCCAGATGGAGAAGTTTAATAGTATGTAGTCACACCCAATGAATAAAAGGTTAGATGATCTGGCATTAGGGCGTCTCAAACGTAGCAGCTTTGTCCATCGGGGGAAAAGACTTAGAAGACAGTATCAAGCTGATCTACCTATTAGAACAACACCGCTGAAACCTACCCTATACCCTGTACCTTGGGAGCAAGTCAGTGATACAATACAGATAATGACTTCATTCAATGGATTCACAACTGGAGATGAGTCAAATGATCTTCAGAAACGAACAGCTGGTCTTAGCATGATTCATGAAAACATGTTTACACAGATGGATCAGCAACCAGTGCAGTTAAAAATGGGGGTGCTAGAGTCTTTATTACATACCCAGGCAACCACCGCCACACAAAGTGGATACCCACTGGTAAATTCTGTTCCAACTACACAGCAGAGATTGTAGCACTAGAGCAGGCTGCCGAAATGTTACACAACACCAGTTCTGACTGCCACCAAGTGGTCATATTCACAGATGCGCTATCAGTGCTTCAAGCCCTCAAGAGTGGCAAACTCCCTCACTTGAGATCTGAACTTGGCAAGGTGGCTGCCCAAAAGTGTACTGTACTCCTGTGGGTGCCTTCCCACTGTGGTATACCAGGAAACGAAACCGCAGATAAACTTGCCTAAAAAGGGGCAGAATGTGACCAGTAAGAGAATGCAGTAACATACTATGAGAAGAAAAGGGCCATCCAGGCTATAGAAGTGAACAGTCAGAGATGACTACCACTTACTTGACCGGCATGGGCAGGTCATTGTCCTACGTCTCAGGACAGGACATAACAAACTTAACCAGCATATGCACAGGCTTCGTCTAAGTAGTTCACCTTTTTGCCCTTGTGGGCTATGTGTGCAGACTACAGAACATGTCCTGCAAGACTGTCCCTTGTTCAGCCCATTAAGAAAGGAATACTGGCCCAGTGAATCATCACTGTACACAAAGTTGTATGGGACTAAAAATGAACTCATAAAAACAGTCAAGTTTATCACAAGAACCTGTCTGTCGGTGTAAATCAGAAAGCGAACACAAAACACACCAGCATGAAGGTGGGCATATGATATAACTAACACCTTTGGGTGAGAACTGCACAAGGTGGAAGATCAAATTGTTTGGTCACCTCGTTAGAATTCAGCTACAAAAACTACCAACACTGACTATACACATGAAAATATCTGATAGGAAAGCAAGCGGTTGCCCCTTGGAGAATATGGATGGATAACATTAAAGACCTTCTACATTGACAGGGAGTGATAATAGACAATGCTATCCATCAAGCAATGGATTGCAAACTGTTCCTCCCCATGATCCTTCACACCAAAACTGAAAATAGATGATGAACAAATGACTAGAAATCTACAAGTTAAAGAGACACTTCCCTGAGACTTAAGAGTTAATCATGTCCTATGCCATATATTATAGGTTCAGTGTGACTAGTCTTTGCCTCCTGTATGAAACCCAGCAAACCACAGGTGTGTGACTCTCTCATATAGAATCTAAGTTCCCGATGGGCAACATAGCAAGAACATGGTAAACCTCCTTTTATTTGCCAGACTATTGCCTGTGCTCCATGCTTCATATTAAGGTGAAAATAAGATTTAGTCATATGCATCCTGGCCGCTAGCACATCAGCAAAATGGAACAGCCACACTGACAATTACCTGGCATACATGTCGTCCCTGATAGACAAGAGGTGCTGAAGTATGGACAGGAAGTAAGGTTCGGCCACTGTGTTGCTGACTGTGCTGAGGATCACTTCGAAACAGGCTTTCGGGTTAGTGGACTCCGTTAAGGAAATAACGGTGAATGATTGGCTTCTATAACATCTCACACAATCATCAATCACAGCAAAGTATAAGTTCACTATTCTTACCAGTTTTTCAAGTATATGTAGCTAGCTAACTACAAATCTTACATTTCCTGGTAACCTTCTTCTGCTTAGTGTATTCAAGGACTCTAGTCTTATTCTCCATTTTAAATAAGTTCTTGGGTTTCCTTTTGTGTTTTCATGAATGAAGAAACCAATCCCATGCCAGACCTACTTAGTTATCTTTTATGACAAGCTGTGGGCTCTGTTAGCTTAGAAGTTAGTGAAGGCATTTAACAATGTTACGATCCTCGAGTACCAGGGTTCAATTTGCACGGCAATAAATTGTTCTCAGGGTTTTTGTGGAGCAAGAGTTATGCCTTGGAAGAGATAGGGACTTCACCACGGAACACTGACAAAGACAGCAGTCGATGCACTGTAGCTAGAGACAGTAGAGACATCACAACATATTTTATTTATTACATGCATGATAGACTATACTGATGCTTCTTCTTCTTCTGTGCTCATCTGAAGATGTAATGACATTGTGCCTATTTACAGAATGACCTTTTAGCTGACAAATCCAACTTCTGCAGGGATTTGTTGACAGGTTTAGCTTTCCCGGCTGTACTGATCCTCTTCCTTCCTTCCTTTATCAGTTCCAATATCATACAGGCAAAATAATGGTTATTTAATGTTGAATGATAAACAAAGAATCAAAATCACAGGACTTAGGACACTCCTATAAGCGCCCCGTCCCTATCTTCAGCAGCAAGTGAAGAGTTCCAATTCCGATGGTACCAGTAACTGTCTGATTATATATCCGTCTCACCTTTCCCTAGAGTGGTTTTTTTATCTTTAACACAATGCTAAGCCTATCCCAAAAGAAAGGATATTCCATTTCCATGCGAATGTTGTCGTATCGATGAGAGAACTCCTCCATGTCCTCATCTTTGTGTTCATGGAAGATATGCACGTGAGTTTTCAGTTCGTCGTCTTCTTGGTTGTCTAGCCACTGCAGGAGCACAATTAGTCAACTTGATAAAATGTCATCATTAAAAATATTGTACATGTAGATCAGATAACAGAGACAAAAACTATGTAACAAAATAGTTAAATGGAAGCAGACCATGAGCCAAAATGATAAGAAAGGGGAACGATAATTCAAAAGAAGCAGCAACAGAGGAGAAATAGAAAGGAGAAGGTAATGAAAAGAAAAAGAAGAAGAAGATAAGGAGGAAAAGAAGAGCAAAATAATGATAAAGATTAACCCTTAGCAGATATTACTACAAACACTTGAAGCAACTGACTTAAATAAATTTGATTACAACATTTTGATGGATGTTTCCAAAGTCAAAATCATCTTGAACTTCATTATAATCTTCTACATCTACTTTTGCTTCCTCAGCAGCATAATCACCATCTTCATTAATTTCTTCCTACTCTTCTTTTTTTCTTGGTTCTACTACTACTATTACTATCACCATTTACTACTATAACTATTTCTTACTCCTCTTTCCCCCTCCCCCTTTTCCCCATTCTTATTCCTCTTCTCTCTCCCCTCACCCACTTGTTCTTCTTGTTCCAAAAACAATTAGAAAAAAAAGTAAGGTTATTAAGATGTATGTCTTCCTCTGACTCTCTGGAAAGATGGGTGAAAAGAGAGGCAGAGATAGACAGCGCAAGAAGATTCTTGACAGCCTTTTGTCATGGCATGGAGGGGTGTCAACACACGAACTGATACATGCAGTTGCAGATCACAGATCGTGGAAAGGCATGATCGCCCACGCCAGTCGGTAAAGCACTTGATGATGATGATGATGTATCTTAAAACTCTCTAAGACTCAAATAGCTTTTTTGTAGATGTTTGTAGATCAGTGATTGCTTGGAAATAAAAATGAAAACATTAAACAACTGTTAAACAGACCAAATAGTAATTTACTTTACCCCAATTAGATCAATGAGTCCTGTTCGCATAAACTCATTTCTAAGGTGCATCCGGAAATCTAAATCATCTGGTGTGCTGACAATGGCATTCACCAACTGAATACATGCTACCTAAAGTGATGAAATCAGATCATAAGATCATATATATATGTGCGTGCATGGGAGAATATGTGTGTGTGTATATATATATATATATATATATATATATATACGCATATATATATATATATACGCACATATATATATACACAAACACACACACACACATACACACACAAATAAACACACACACATATTCTCCCACGCACGCATGCACACACATGTATGGCTGTGAATCCTGGACAATTAATAAACAAGCCGAACAACTGCTTGAGGTGGGACAATTAATAAACAAGTCAAACAATTGCTTGAGGCCTCAGAGATTTGGTTTCACAGAAGAATCCTTAGAATTCCTTGGACAGCCCAAAACAGCAACCCAGATGATTTGAAAGAGGCGAGGGTTCAAAGACAACTTATCACAAACTGTAGGAGAGTTGAAGGCCACCAGTCATAGTGTAGGAACGAGCCAGAGCCACGTTAGCCCTAGGAAAGCACCTTACACATGCACTTTTTTTTAAGTATCCAGAAGTCATGAGTTGTTAACCCTTTGGCTCTTTACTATGGATATCGCAACCCTTCCGCCTTGATTCTATGATAGATACCCTAAATCTGGGAGAAATGTGGCTTTTCTGACTACCCCTGAGCGTGAACCTGGACCACAAGAAGTTCATCACCTGGTCACCATGAAGTCAGTGAAGTCAGGTTTAACCAACTATGCTAGCGAGCCGGGCAAAACATTTAGCATTTCATAACATCTTGTGGCAAGAGCAGAATGAGTGTAGGGATCAAAATAGTTCTTCTCGTAGTTTAACAGTGGACAGACAAGACAATACTATTATACTTCTAATTTCCTTTGAAGTCAGTTCTAAGTGCAGGGCATTCTAGGGTGCACAATCCTGTGTTAGTCTTGACACATGTCTGAACCATTCGATATTGCCCACAACACCAACTATGTTGTCACAGTTAACATACTTCAGTCAATGGACTCAACAGCTGGAGATTAGTCCCATGACCTTCAAAAATGATCAGCTGATTTTAGTATGATCCAGGAAAACTATCCTGAACAGTCGTGGATACATGCTTACACAGATGGATCAGTAACCGCAGCGGTTATCTTTGCTGGCATCTTTATCACATACCCACACCAACAAATGTTGAAGACATAAGCTTTGTCCACGCTTCCACTGATTCAAAAAAATATCTGGCACCTTATACTCAGCAAGCTTCATCGTATTCTTCACTTTTCTATATTTACATAATGAAGCTGGGTAGACCTTCCAGTAAAACACTATGAATTGAGTTGAGTTGTGTCAAGAATTGACAATACAGCACTTGCAGCATTCCCATAAGTGCACCATCCCCATCCTCAGCAGCCAGCGCAGAGTTCCAATACTAACTGTGCTGGTCGTAGTCTGAATGTATGTCCGTCTAGTATACCACTATATGAGCATGCAAGCAATTAGCCGCATTGATACTTTACAAACACAATAATGGATATATTTCTACCCTAGTTCACACAGCAGATCTTTCACAATACATCTCTGTCATCAGGCCAATTAGGAAGAATTATCGCTTATGAAGCCACAGAGAAAGACTCTCTTATCACGTCAATCAAAAAGACTATATCTCTCATCAAACCAATCAGAAACTCTTTATCTTACATTAAGCCAGTCAGAAAGACTCTCGGGGGGCTGAAGTGGTCTCGAGGTAGGGTGTCCGCCTCGAGTGCTGGAGTTCTTGGGTTAAAGCCCTGGTGAAGGCTGGGATTTTTCATGTAGACTTCTAGTAATTTCCCTTGTCTCTGGGTAGTAAGATCGGACGCCCTTGTGTATTCTTGCGTACGTAAAAAATCCCTGGGCAGTTGGAAATTGAAAAGAGTAGCCTAACAGTGCTGTCCAGGCAAAATCTGGAGCTAAAAATCTACCTAAAGTTGCCGGTGCAATGGAGTTTGTGCATTATGCTAAAAACTTCAGACTCAGGCTTAAGTAAGAAGTAGAATGGAGCACTTATGGGTTACACCCGTGTGCTATGATGTTGATCTGTCAAATAAACATAAAATCTCTATTCTGAAAGCTCACCTGCCTTGCGTATTTAAATGCAAAAGTTATTTTTTTAATATCCGACAGCCACCTTCATGTCAATTCCTACCTCTTCTTCTGGGATCTGTATCTTCCAGTTGTTGTTTTCTGCCACCCCATGCCTAATATGACTGAAGCATTTCAGTCTGTCTGACATGGTGCTGCTAATAAGCCGATTTCTATCAACAATTTTTTTCAAAATCATTGCATTCCTTATTCTAAACCCTACAATATTCTATGAAAGTTTTTCTTTTCCTAATTAGTTTTTGTGAAATGGTCAGTGTCTGTAGCTTAGGCGTTGCGAACCTGCTTCATAATCCCAGGGTGCCAATTTCGATCCCAGCTGCAGGGTTTGCGCCTTGCATTGGTTTCGACAGTGGTATCAAGAAGAAGATCTATCCAGAAAGCAATGTCAAACTACTTGATGTAAATGTGCCAAAAAAAAACAAAACAAAAACAAAAAATGCTGGCGATGGTTCTGCAACATCTTGTAAAGGATACACAACTTTTTTTTTTTTTTTTTTTTTTTTTTGACTTTTGTGAAAGCGTCTACAACTCATGTAACTTACCTGCATTGCTGGATTATCTCTCATGCCCAAACCACTGATGATAGGCAAAAACCGTTCCTGGCCACGTATCTCTCCACATACAGTAATTCCTTCCAAGGCTTTTTCATGGCTAGAAGAAATCAGTTCAAACTTATGATTAGACATTGTTCTTTTATATGGATTAAACTGCTGTAAGAACGTGAACTGATAAAAAGCCACATGAACTGATAAACAGCAACATGAACTGATAAACAGCAACATGAACTGATAAACAGCCACATGAACTGATAAACAGCCACATGAACTGATAAACAGCAACATGAACTGATAAACAGCCACATGAACTGATAAACAGCACCGAAGCACATGAGTTGTGAATCACCATGATCACCTAAGCCAGTAAGTAAGGTATAAAAAGAAGAAAAAATATGAACATTTAGTGTAAACTTGTGTCATTTTACTCAAAAGCTCTTAACATTAACCTGAAAGTTTTATATTCGGCTGTTCAAGGCAATAAGCGCACAGATTATCTGGCTGACAAGGTGGTTACCATGACTGGCCAAGCACTGGACAAGAGCAACGTCATTAATGCAAGCAATTTGCATATTGTGAAGAAGATAACAACAAGGACTCAGTATTCTTGTTCAGGCTGGTAGACAGGGGGTACAACCTGGAACAGCCATACAGGACATTTCACCAGAAGCACAAGAGGTTTGATTAATCAACACACGGCGGGCGTCATCAGTCGTTTTACACTTGTAGAGCTAGCTTTGCAGGAAGAGATCGGAGAAACTATGGATCTGTCCAGAGTGATGATGTGATGACAGACCTCACTAATAAGTGAACAGAATTAGCAACAAAAGAAAAAAGACCACCCATTCTGAATAGCTTTTGATAATTAGATACAAAGGAATGACTTCTTGAAAACTGCAAGCGATGGCAGCCTGAGAGTCATTGCAATTAGCAACAAAACAAAAAAATGAAACAACAGAAATGAAATATCTAAAACAAATCCAAAACATAACTAGAAGAGACAGGATCAGAAATGAAGATATCAGGAAAGAAAGTTAGAACAGAAACAGTACTAAACTACATCAAGGGACAATAGATCAAATGGTTTGGACATGTGTGAAGACTACCACCAAACAGTGCCACCCTGAGAGCCCGGTCACTTTAATATAACAGAAGTAGACCATGCAAGCGATGGATAGACGTAATATCCGAGGCCGTGATTCCCAGAATCTCTGTAGCACATACCAAGGTTCGGACTGGATGCCTCCTGAACACATGATGCTGAAAGGCGAACAAGACAAGATATGAAAAATGAAGAAGTAAAGGCAGCCAATGCGATGGTAATCATAAAAACCTGGTTTGCTCCAGTGCCCTCATTTCCCACTTTGTCATTGTTGGTCAATCCAGGCACATTAACTCGAGAACAAAAAAATCAGTTTTGTTGAGATCTGTCATAGCAAAAGTAGCCCATCTACTTGTCATCAAAGTATTCATCGACAGATAATAATTTTATAAACATCCTAAGTGCTAAGCAAAACACAAAAATCCAACATTGTAGTTTTCTAAACACGCACGCACGCACGCACACACACACACACACACACACACACACTCACAAACAGACAAAGAACTAACAATGTTTATGCTTCACCTTTCACCCCATTTCCTTGCAGTAATACTTCTGGCCCACACAAAGTACTTCTTGATGGACAAGCATTTTCTAAACATGATCAAGTTCTGGGCAGAACATTTAAACCCAACACTGTATATGCTCCAACTTTCATATCACTTCCATTTAGTTTATAGTCCAGATTTCTCATCACTGTCTTGTAGTGATACATCCAACCCAAATACAATCAAGTGCTGTGCTAACAACACAGGTGATACAAAGATACAAATTTTCATAACAGTGTGAACACAGCTGACATAGGGAAGATTTGTTATGAGTGAACTCTGCTCAGGCAATTATTGGCCAGTATCCTTCTTGTAAACTTGTTGCTGTTACTACTGTAAGCAGATCATCATCATCATCATTTTCCTGTTGTAAAATTATATGTTGCAGAGGGCTCACAGTTTACTCCTCCCTTCTGTTTTATCCTAAGCAATCCTTTTTACATTACTGATGTAATTTAGTCCCGCACCTTTGGTCTCTCACACACACACATATATAAGACGTACAATTTCTTAGTGAAATGACAGCTTTAAAAAAAAGATTAAGAGTTTTTTTGTACAATGTCCTGTCAAAAAAAAAACAAGTAACTTTTCAATATATGACAAGAGTTCATACAAGCATGCAGATATCCATCCCTACATGATACTGACCTAAGGGTGAATCTAAATACCACAAAAACAGGATTATTAACAACAAGAATCCCACAAACAACACCATTAAGACAAAACAAATAATTATACCCCTTCGGCGGGACTAAACAAATGGCAGCTAACAACCGGACAGCTTCAAGCATTGTTGGGGGGTCAGCCGGGTCCACTGTTCTAGACATGATGGTCAAGGCCTCTTCATGCTCCAAGATTCGCTTCAGCCCGAACTGAAAACAGACGACATCACAGGGGACACAAGTTAAACCTGACCTCATGCAAAACTAAAGCATGCTGGGATGTTTACAATAAGGTGGGCAATGAGCTTAAACCAGCTGTAAAGTAAGTAAAGGATCCTTTCCTCCGCCTTTAGGCGTATAGGGTATGTAGGGCTAGACCTATATTTAATAAGACCAATTGGCACAAGGTGGGTGATAAGGTCAGCATCACGCCGGCAGCCTTTACTTCCCGGAACTGCACCCGGTACCCACTCAAGGCAGGGTCAACCTGGGAGTCAAGGTCATTTTGAAAAAAGTCCGGCTCTGCCAGGGAACGAACTCGCGACCTTCCAATCCGCGGAGAGTATCTAACCGCTCCGCCACGGCGACTCCCTTAAACCAGATGTACTCTTTCATACTATATCATCATCATGTAGCAGGTTCCTATCAAAACATGGTGCTGATCACAAGCTGCCAGGATGACTAATCGTCTTTCACCAACCCCCTCCCCTGCTTCATGCATTTACATGCCCAATGAAAGACAACAATAATTAAAAATTCCCATTGCAAATTTAAATAATTATACTTCATGTATATAATTATTGTATAATTAAATTTAAAACACACACATAAGCACGTGTGCGCATGAATGCACGCACGCATGCGTGCACACACATGCACACAATGAATAGCGATTTACATAAAAATTAGCGGAAGTTATAAAAATAAAAATGAGCAATCTAACTTTGTGTAAACAAAAAGAGCATGTGGTAAATTTGAAACTGCCATGGTAATCATGTAGCCAATCTTAAATTTCCAATGCTGATGTACAGAGTAACTAGACAGAGAGATCTGTGTATTTCAATGATAAGGATTATTGTTGTGCTTTATTATATGATGATATAACTCTGTAGTAATGTCCCAATGAGATAACAGCAAAATATATCAGGCAATAAAGAGTGCGAATGTATTGTTTGTGTCCGCATTATTTGAAGATAATTAAGCAAATGATAACCTAATCTTCCTTCACTGAACCTCACTTTAGTGAAAGATTCATATACATTCAGTCAGCAAAGTAGGCATGGGGGAACAAACAGATACTAAAATATGGAGAGAAAAAAAAAGGCATGAGAAACTTTCATAGCAATAGAAAATTTGTGGAAGTCAAAAGAATTGAAACTTTGCATTACATTCTGAACCATCATTGGATGTATTTTTTTACTTTTTAGAATGGTGGTTAGGAGGTAGAAGGTTTAATAATTTATCCCATAGGAAGCCCCAGGGCCACACAAAGAGAATAACTCAGAGGCATATAATAAAGAAAGAAAAAACACATGGAGAAGGGAGCTAGAGGGCAAAGTTAAAAAGATAGGGAGGACATGGAGAGAGTTGTATGTGATAGTGAAGGATAGAATGATTTAGCGTGAGTTGGTTGAGGGTCTTTGCTCCATTAGGGGTTAGAAAGGTAGAAAAAAAGAAACAAAATATTTTTCTCTAATTTTCCTTTTCAGAAAGAGGAGCAGCAGCAGAAGAATAAGAAGAAGAAGAAGATGAAGAAGGAAGAGGAGTAGCAGCAGCAGCAAGATGAAGATGAAGAGAGAGAAGAAGGAGGAGGAGAAGAAGAAGAAGAAAAAGAAGAATGTACTAAATTTTACTAAATCTATCCTCATCTTAAAAAGTACTGGCTTTCATGACATTGGTTGGGCAGCCGGTTTGTCCAGTCATCTCAGTTTGTCCCTAGAGATGGAACTTGAAAAATGAAAGTGGGGTGAGGTGCAGTCCCTGCTAGCTATACGTGTTAAAGTTGCCGCCCTTGCATCTTAGTTCTCCGGCTGAAGTTCAGCTATAACTGTTTGTGTCCTGATTCCTTTGTTTCACAATTGCCCTCATTTTCCTGGTCCTTTACTTCCATTGGCTCTGGTTTATCGAGTCGGCCAGATTTCCACGATTTGAGAGTCTTGTCAGTGCTTCAGTGCTGTGTTGGCAAAGTCTCTATTATTCCATTTAGTGAAGATGCAAGTTAAATCTATCTAAAATACACTCTTGTTCTGCTAATTATGAATGACTATGAACATTAAGAATGATAAATAATAAGTTTTACAGTCAATGGATATATCTAAATCTGCTAATTATGAATGACTAAGTACATTCTTCTTCTTCTTCATGTTCACCAGCTGTAAACTCCGGGGGGAAAGTTCTGGTTATTCGTCCACTTCTGGACTGCAGTCCTGTTTCAGAACCGGAGTGTTGCGTGTGCATCCGTTTGACAGATCTGACTCATTTGTGTGCACACTGTAAGCTCCTTGCCTCTCAGGCAGATGCACTCTGACTTCGAAGGAAGCTCCCAGTTAGTCAACTCTTACGACAAGCTTTTTGGTAGGCAGTGGGTCTATTCTTGTTTTCCCTATAATAGGGCACCGGAACCCATACAGGGAACTATGTACATTCAGAATGATGTATAGTAGATACTACAGTCAATGGATATATCTAAATCTACTAATGACTATCTATTCAGAGAGATATATGATAGATATTACAATCAATGGACTGTGTATACTCAGAATGATACAGAGTATCTATTACATGTCTATATATATCGTAAACTGTTAACTATGAACGACTATGCACAATGCTATAAATAGGTATTCCAGTAACTGATCTATCAACACAATCTTCCACAGCTGACTACGAATGCACTGTTATTACCAAAAGACACACTAAGTACAATGAGACTATTCATTTGAGACATTAGCACAGACTGGTTAAATACATAAAGTGGTAAAAATAGGGGTGACTGCAGTTAAGCTAATACCAAGGAATTAGGGAATTAATCCAAAGAACAATAACTGAAAAGCTTAATGAAATCAGGAAGCAGAATACTGTGCACAAAAGCAACACATAAGGATATTTTGGCGCTGGGCCTTTCTCGACAAGAACATGAACTACAGTGGCCATAACAAGGGGGGGGGGGAGTACTCTAAACACTAAAGGGTCAACAAGAAATTTTTTTTTTTTTTTTAAAAGGTGATGTGGAATGAATGAACTGAAATTAAATAAAGAAAGACTCAAAAAAAAAAAGTAGACGATTCTACAGGAATACGTCCTTATTAGGACGTTATTTTTTGTTTTTTGAAGCCCCACTCTGGCTTTTGCCAGGGGCCGCAATATAGGCAGGTCATACATATGGCCAAATGTCTGAACGCGGTTTCTGGGACCTCTCCACGGTGATCCTCATCCGCATGGTGGCACTTTGTGTCATCGGGTGTTTATCGCTTGTGTGATGTCCTGGTGGGGTAAAAAGCCAATCCAAAAAAAAGTCTTCAAAATTTTTCAACTATTTTTGGAGTCTTTCTTTAAATTTATTTTATTCATTCCACATCAAAATTTTGTTTAAACATAGTTTTTCCATTAACCCTTAGTGTTTGGAGTACTCTCCCCCTTGTTATGGCCATTGTAGTTCATGTTTTTGTCGAGAAAGGCTCAGCGCCGAAACGTCTTTATGTGTTGCTTTGTGTCCGTTATTCTGCTTTCCGATTTCATTAAGCTTTTCAGTCATTGTTCATTAGATTAATTCTTTGGTTAAATACATAACAAATGTTGCAATTACAACAAAATTAAATGTGACACTAACATGCAGTCTTCATCTTCTACTTCTTCATCTTCACATTCGCCAGCTGTAAACTCCCAGCAGAAAGTTCTGGTTATTCCTCCACTACTGGACTCCAGTCTTGTTCCAGAACCTGTTTTGAGTGCACATCTGTTTTACAGATCTAGCTTATTCTTATGCAGACTGTTGGATCCTTGCCTCTTTGACAGATGCACACAGACTTTGAAGGAAACATCCCTAATTAGTCAACTCTTAGGACATGCCTGTTAGGAGGTAGTGGGTATATTCTTTTTTTCCCCACAATGGTGCAAGAAACCCATACAGGGAATTAACATACAACGATATGAACTATCTTTATTCCACTTGAGAGCAACAGGCAATGCAAGTTTATCATCAGCCAGAATTCTGTGTAAATGTTTCAAATTTCTCAACTAATTAACAACTAACAACAATGTCAGGGAGCAATAACTGTGCTAGCTCACATAATTAAAATTAATCAAAGCTAAGCAATGTCAGAATGCTGGGGTATACACATGTGGCTGTTACCACCAATACACACAATCATCCCAAACAAATGGATAATTCAACAGATGTAAACAATACTACAGAATAAACATGTGACAGTAAAAACAAACACAGCATTAAAAATAATGTTTTTCCCTAGTAAAGTTAGATAATCTCATCATCATGTGCCCTGCCAACTGGCGTAGGTGCCCATGTGTCTCCACATATCACGATCACTGGTTGCCTGGAACAGCTCTCTTGATGATATCCCTCCATGCTATCGTTTAGCCCATCCAGCGTTATGTAAGTTAGATAATGTGGACACAAAAAAATACATTGCACAATTTACTCCCTGGGGTCATGTTGAAGCAATAATGTACATTCTTCCTCTTTTTCTTCTGCCTTATAGCCCCCCAAATGCAGCATAGTCCCTCAACCAACTCATGCCAAGTCATTCTATCCGTCCCTATCGCATGCAGCTTTACAAGACTCTTAATCTTTCTTAGCCACTCTTGGTCAAGCCTTATCTCACCTTCCATGAAGCAGACTATTCTCCCCCCAAATCCAGCAAAAAGTCTCAAAAGAGTTACAACCTCCCAGTGGGTAACTATATGTGACAACAAATGAGGTAAAGGTGAAATCTAGTTCCATCGCATAGGTACTAAGCTGAGTGCATAGTGCAACAATATGAGCTGTGGAGAATCCTCATTTTCTGTGCTCCAAAGATGTTGTAAACTGCATATTCAGAAAATGACGAGTGGCTGGTTGTCACAAAACTGGCAGTGTGCCTTATACAGTGATGTGTGTGCATCTGCTGTTATGTCACAAGTGCTACTTCCATCAACAATGAATTACAATTATAGCGAAAGACTGCTGATGTTGGCACCTCTGGAAGCTGCCTTATGCATCTGATGCATGCGGGAGATGTTGAATTCGAAATGTTGAATTTTCAAGAACTGATGTCTGTCTGATTCTTTCCATGGGCTAGAGAATGGACATTTTTTGTTAATTTTTTTTTTTTTTCTGGCAAGGAATAAAGAAATTATGGGGTAACATGTTTGCAACAAAGTATAAATCCTGCCTGAGGAAACCTATACCTCTATTAACAAGACACATCACATTCACACCAGACAACTCACTGTGTTGTTCATAAACGCCTTTAGACATCTGATACATTCATATGTGCTTCTTCTTTCATGGATGCTGGGGACAGAACAAGTATTGAATACTAGTTGTAGGAACATTTCTACTAACGATAAACAAAGACTTTCTATTTAGAGGCGTAAGTAAGACAGATATGAGATAAACATTGCAAAAATGTAACAAATTAGGTAGTTTCAGATCTTGCGATAAATCATGAACACAAATTCTACAAAATTGTACCTTGCAGAAGAAATCTGTATTCTGGTTGTCATTATCACATACGGCTTGCAGTCTATTCCTTTATTCCGTTATATCTTGTGAAATCCCTTCGATATCATGGAAGAAATCCAGTCCAGCAGACGTAGCCTCTCTCATCAACCTCAATTTTAGGGTTTCTTTTGGACCTGCTTCCTTAATCCCTAAACAATTTTATGCTTGTTTGGTGATTCTCTGCTCATTTCTTCTCAGGATGTGTCCAATATAGTGCCATTGTCTTTATCTTATAACTGTTTTACCAGTGGTTGCCCAAACATTTCTCTTTTTCTTCACCCCCTTTTAACCCCCCCCCCCCCTTTTTTTGTGTGTGTGTGTTAAAAATGTCCTCAGGTATTTGTTTGCAAACACGTTAAAAATTGTGTTCCATATCTTTAGTAGTTCTCCAACTTTCACTTGTACATGTTAAAATTTAAATAACACATATGTAACTAAGTAACTTGGTTTAAGAACTTTACAATTTAGAGTTCCAAGGATTGTTCTGGTGTTGATGAGATAAGTTAATGAGGATTAATGTTTATCTTGTGAATGTAGTGGTATTCACGATTCAAAACTGGTGTGGAAAAAACTGAAGATGAAGCTGGACCAGGATGTCTAATTTCTGTTCAAAATGATAAACTCACTTTCAGAATCAGAGAACAGATATGTCTATCTATCTATTGTCTTCTTCACTTTTACCGGGTTGCAGCCCAGTGTGGTGGTTTAAAATATTTGTTTTGAGCCTCTCGCATGATTTGAGTGAGTTTTCTGGATCTTCTGGCCGTATTCAGCTACTCCATTTATCCATTTTTTCCTGGGTCTACCGAACAGATATGTAAAGACCCATATTTGAGTGTGAGGATGAAGGCAGATAAATATGATGTTGAATCTAATAAACACGATCCTTATAAGCATAATCAATTCAACTGCTTCAAAAGCCATTTTCTGAGTCTGAAACAGAATTGATGTTCACCCTTGGCTCTGTGCTGCATAAGTAATCAACACAATTTACACTAGCTAAACAAAATGGCGGGTTATTTGTCATCTATATTAAACTCACAGACAGTAAATGTAACCACTCCAAGATATGAGGAGCTAAGAAAAGTACTGGGAGCCATAGTAGCGGATTGGCCAGATGTTTGTCTGCCCAAAGGTCCTTGTTTGGATTCTCTGTTAGGCAAGTTAAAGTTAGTTGTATATCCTTTACAGGACATTGCGGAACCAACCCCAGCAATTTTTTTTGGCTGTTGTGGTTTTTCTAAGTAAATTTACGTCCAGTAGGTTGCCATTTCTTTCTGGACAGTCGGCTTCTCCATTCCACTGTTGAAACCAATGCAAGCCGACACTGCGGCATTACAAAGCGTGTTAGCAACGCCTAAACGACAGACGATAATCCATAAGCAAGATTTGTATAAAATGTCCTTAAAGGTTCAAGGATCGACTTCATTGCACTGGTTTTCATACCATACGAACCAGTCTCTCTTTCTGCAAAATGGCAAACCACTTGCTAAGAGCATTAAGCACAGCACAAACTACCCTAGCTCCAGCAACGATCCCAAGGAATCCCCATAAAAACTGCCCTCATGAAATGAACAACACAGCTGTGAAATGAACCCATGACCTTCAGAGCGTGAGACAAACAGCTTGACCACTTTGCCACAGATACCCCCCCCCCACCCCAGCCTAAAATAGGTCACAGGAAATGTTCTGGGAAGTAAGGGTGACCAGTGTGATGTTGACCTCATCAGCCATCAAGTGTGGATTGGGCTACACAAATGTAGATTGAACACCAAACACCTAATGCACCAATGGTAAAGAAAGGGATCCATTGATCGATTGGTCTGTCCCTTCCAGGCTGCTACCTAAAGACTTACCCTACCAGCCTAAGATTTAAAAATCTCAATCTGGATGACAGACCAACAAGGTACATCCCAGATACCCCATTCAACCTCTAGCTCAGTTGAGTTGTCAAGAATTGACATCACAGCACTCTGGGCATTCCCATACGCACTCCGTCCCCATCCTCAGCAGCCAGCGCAGAGTTCCAATACTAATGGTGCCAGCCGTACTCTGGTTGTATGTCCGTCTTGCCTTTCCCCTGAGCTTAGTGTGCTGTAAGGGTGCATCATTCTCTCCAGCCCATAATAATCTAGTTTTTCTTCTGACTTTGTTACTTGTTTCCAAAGGGCTCTGACCACATCTGCCTTGTCAGCACCCAGAGGTGCAGATCTAGCCAGTCTGCCTGCCTGTTCATTCACCACCACGCCGGCATGGCCTGGAGAAAAGATCCAAAGTATGCTCACTACCCGTGAACTTGCAAGTGAAGCATTCAACCTCTAAAGAAATTATAATAATTAGAGCATCTGTAAAACAACTACATTAGCCATAATAACCTGCAGTCCTATGTGAGTAGGGACCGGGAAAGGATCCTTTCCTTTAAAAAAAAAAGCAGCACAGAGGCAGCATGTGCAGAGAGGTTTGAGGTTTGAACAACGGATCAACATCACTGCACATGGGTAGTAACCCATAAGTGCTCCGTTCTTCTTCTAACTTAAATCTGAGTCCGAAGAAGCTCAGCACAATGCACAGGCTCTGTAGCACCGGCGAGGATCCTGAAAATACTTTTGACTCCAAATTTTACCCGGGCAGCGCCGTTAGGCTACTCTTTTCGATTTCCAACTACCAACTGCCAACGTGCACAACAATGCACACAGGCGTCCGATCTGACTACCCAGAGACCGAGGGGAATTACTAGAAGTCTAAGTCCATTTTAAAAAAACCCAGCCCTTACTGGGGATTGAACCTGGAAGCTCCAGCACTCGAGGCGGACACCATGCCTCGAGACAACACAGCCCCAACATGTGCAGGGATTACTCAATACATTTATGAAGCACACTGCTTGGTACCAAACGAATTAACACAGGCAAATTCAAGCGCACAAATATGTTTCTTACTTGTCACAGCAGTAGGTCAAGTTCTTCAATATGGCATTTAATCCTTTCTCGCCAAATTCCATGACCCAGCTGTGAATCAGAACAACAAACAACTGTGTTATGTATGTTTTACACTGTAAAGAAGCAAACGTCATACTTCAAGACAACATGTATAAATGCTAATATAACAGCTACAGGCACGACTAATGGCATATTATTTACAACTTGGTATATAACAAGTCTCAAGTCTCAAGATAAAAACAAGTAAAACTAAAGTATTGAGAATTAATCAGAAAAACTGAAAATAAAATTAGATTCTTTATTAATATCCTACCCCCAGATGACATCACAGGGCAGACCAACATTTTAGAGGGTGGTAAGACTGGGTTTCCCGGCTTTCTGATGCTTTTAACGACCCCAAAAAATCTAGAACTGGCTGTAACCCCAACCCAACTACATCACACGAGACAGTGCAGCCTAGGTCCAACGACTGCATGCAGCCTATCTACCACCCCTGAATTATCCGTGACCTGTGGATTTTCCTTGTTTGGGGTAGGATATTAATAAAGCACCTAATATTATCTTAAATGATGAAGCAATAGAAGAAGTTGAAGAATTTACATATCTCAAAAGTGAAGTTACTCCAGATGGGGATTCTAAGAAGGATGTAGCATCTAGACTAAATAAAGTAAAGTCAAACATTTACCATGCTAAACAATATACGGAAGTTGAAGGGAATTAGGTCGAAGTTAAAACTCAGACCCTTCAAACCCTGACGCTAAAAGGCAGAATAAGACTAGAAAAGAAGAAGAATGTTAAATTAACAATCGACATCATAGCACTCCGGATGGTCCCATAAGCACTTTGTCCCCGTCTTCAGCATCAATTAAATAAGAAGAAAAAAAACAGCTATACTGACCTGACTGGTTTGCTGGTCAGTGACACTCGAAGAGTCTCCAGTACCTGAGTCCTTTTCTGGCCTTTGAGGTCCGGGTTCATGAGTTCTTGAACAAAGGCTTGTGGGGTGTCAAGCTCTCCACCTCGTGCCTGTAAGGACAAGTGATACAGAGATGTCATTAGATTTGCACCTGTTTGGAGTGATACAGAGATGTGATTAGATTTAGATTAGATTCGCACCTTTCTGGAGTGATACAGAGATGTGATTAGATTTAGATTAGATTCGCACCTTTCTGAAGTGATACAGAGTTGTGATTAGATTTAGATTAAATTTGCACCTTTCTGGAGTGATACAGAGATGTGATTAGATTAAGGTTAGATTCGCCCCTTTCTGGAGTGATACAGAGATGTAATTAGATTTAGGTTAGATTCGCACCTCTTTGGAGTGATTCAGAGATGTGATTAGATTTAGATTAGATTTGCACCTTTCTAGAGTGATACAGAGATGTGATTATATTTAGATTAGATTCCCACCCTTCTGGAGTGATACAGAAATGTGATTAGATTTAGATTAGATTCGCACCTTTCTGGAGTGATACAGAGATGTGATTAGATTTAGATTAGATTCGCACCTTTCTGGAGTGATACAGAAATGTGATTAGATTTAGATTAGATTCGCACCTTTCTGGAGTGATACAGAGATGTGATTAGATTAAGATTAGATTTGCACCTTTCTGGAGTGATATGGGGATGCAGAAGTAAAAAAATCAAAGACTCTTTTCACGCCCAGTGGGTTATCAGGCGTATGATGCTGTACTCATAATTTCACAGACAAACTGACATTTGATGGGCAATGTGGTCAGTATCACGCCAGCTACCGTCCCTTCTTTCGGCAGTGTAGCATCTAGCACGCTTGCTTACAAGCCCAGTTGTCATTAGTTCTCCCAGGCAGATGCACTACGACTTTGAGGAAAACCCCTAATTAGTCGGCACATGCATGTTCCGGACGCAGTGGGTCTATTATTGTGTCCGCACAATGGGTCCTTGAAAACTACACAGGGACCTGTATAACTGAATGGTGAGATATAAGATAACCTGCATCTCCTGGTACGTTTGCAGGTGCTTGGCTGGACAAAAATACAAAACCGTCACATTCAACCAGCATCCACGAAGGGAGAAGGGGGAGCTTTAGGTTATAACTATGACTAGGTTATGTGTGCCATTTAAAATGCCTTAGAACTGCACACCACCAAGAGCCTTGAAAAGAACTCCTGCAGTGTTGATGCAATCAAAAGACAGAGACCCAAATACTGTGCTGACCGGCGACGAAGTTGTTTACCGCCGAGCCAATTGGGGACCCAGTCGCAGATGTGTATATCTTCTGGGAAAAGTCATTGAATTGATACAAGTGCTGGGACCCACAAAAAGATCTGGATACCAACATCACCAACAGGATGTTGCAGAACCAACATCTTTTTACTGTTTCTGATTTTACTAGGCAATGTTACATTCAGTAGTCTGCCCTTGTTTTCTAAATGGTTAGCACTCAATCTTTCTTCTTCTTCTGCCTTTCTAGCCCCCAATGGAGCACAGGCCCTCAACCAACTCACGCCAAGTCGTTCTATCTTTTGCTATCGCATGCAGCTCTCCCCATGTCCTCTCCATCTTTCTAACTTGATTCTCCAGCTCCCTTCTCCATGTATTTTTTGGCTTTCCTTTATTCCTATGCGCCTGTGGGTTCCAATGCCTTCCAGTGTTCTTCCTATATCATACAGAGTTCTAACATTCTAGGTGCCAATTCTGGAGGTTTTCCTAGGTGATCGAAGGTATATCGACGATCAGGACTCCTTTCGGTTAGCACTCAATACCACTGTCAAAAGCAATGTAAAGTATCGGATTCTGAATTATCTGCAGCTGGAATCAAATCTGGTATTCTGGCATTACGAAGGGCATTCGCAATGCCTAAGCAACAGATGCTGACGTACCAGCATCAGAAGGTGGATAGCATGAGAAGGAGTATATATGATTTACCAGTCATCCCTTGTGGGATGCAATTTTTCGTGTTTTTTTTTAAAGCCCAACCCGCAATTTAGCCCAGCCATAAATATGGTCTAATGACTGAACGCGGTTTCCGGGATCTCTCCACGGGTGATGTTCATCCGCATGGTGGCACTTTGTGTCATCAGGTGTTTATCGCTTGTGTGATGTCCTGGTGGGGTAGAAAGTCAGTCAGAAGGAGGATATTCACATACTGTGGTCATGCTGTGAGAAAAGGAAAACTGGAATATATCAAGACCACACAAAGGTTGTAGGAGAGAAGAGAGACAGGAAGGTTGGAGGAGAAGAGAGACAGGAAGGTTGGAGGAGAAGAGAGACAGGAAGGTTGGAGGAGAAGAGAGACAGGAAGGTTGGAGGAGAAGAGAGACAGGAAGAGACAAAGAGAGAGCAGGTTAGTCTAGCGTCACTGTATGGAAGAACACCTCTACTGATCCTCATCATTGGTAACAGAAAAAAATGATGCAATAATTAGGACAATTAGGTTCTCTTAAAAGAGTTAAATACAGCACAGCCAATTCTGATGTGTGGAAGTGATTCGTGGACAATGAGCAGATGAGTATAAAATGGAGGCTGCAGAGGTGTGGTTCTGATCATAAATGATAAAATGTTCCAAAAATAAATTATAATTAGGTTGTTAACAATAATATTATTAAGCTTTTAAATAATAAGAAGCAAAATAAAAAAAAAACAAAGAGTTTCTTAAGAATAACTTGCAAAACTAAACAAAATGAAGACATCTAAAAAGAATTATACCAATTCAGTGGGAGAACTGAAAGTAAAGATCAAGTATTTTTTGAACATGTCAGGAATGGTACCTAAATACATAAAACTAGAGACAAGTGTGTGTGTGAGTGTGTGTGTGGGGGGGGGGGGGGGGGTGAGACTGGTGGAGAACTTAACCAGAAACCCAACACATCTAATTTTATAAAATCCTTATCTCTTTCAACCCCAAACCACGAGTATGTCTGTCTGTCTTTCCACTATACTGTGTGTGTGTGTGTGTGTCTTTCATACTGTATGTGTATGTGTGTGCATGTATGTATGTGTGTGTGTGTCTTCCCACCATACTCTGTGTGTGTGTCTGTCTGTCTGTCTGTCCAACATACTCTGTGTGTGTGTGTGTGTGTGTCTGTCTGTCTGTCCAACATGCTCTCTGTGTATGTATGTGGGTGTCTGCCTGTCGGTCTGTCTGACTGTCTGTGTGTTCGAGTGTGTGTGTGTCTGTCCCCCATATTCTTTCTTTGTGTATGTGTGTGCGTGTGTGCGCGCGTGTGTGTGTCCACCATACTCTCTGGGTGTCTGTCTGTCTGTCCACCATACTCTCTCCCTCCCTCTCTCCCTCCCCCCTCTCTCTCTCTGTGTATGTCTCTCTGTGTGTGTGTGTGTGTGTGTGTGTGTGTGTGTGTGTGTGTGTGTGTGTGTGTGTGTGTGTGTGTCGGCTATTCCCGATCAGCTCAGCACAAAACCTGCACAAACTATTTCGCAGCGGCAGACCTCTCCTTTAAATGTACGCCCCCCCCCCCTTTTCCCCACAACTATTAAACATTACGTTCTCCTTTTCCTATCACTAACATACACTCCTACACGCTCCGTCCCAAAATTCTACTTTTATAAAGTATGTTCCTTTACATTTCTTCTTTTCTCTCTTTCTCTCCCTCCCTCCTTTGCTGGAACGTTAAGTGTGAAGCTGACACTTTTACTAAGCTCGCTCATTTTTCATCCTCTTTCCTCACTCTCTCTCTCTCTTCTCTTTCTTTCTCTCTCTCTCTCTCTCTCTCTCTCTCTCTCTCTCTCTCTCCTTCCCTCCCTGGCAGATTAAATATAAACACTAATCCTTCACAATCTCGACTTTCTCCCTCCCCTCCTCCCTACTCCCAATATTTTCTCCTCTTTGTCACTTTCCCGCCACACCGAACACACACTGAAGTCTGAACAAACTCTCTCCTGTGACGTCGGGTGGGTCTTCTATAACAGCACGCAGGGGCGCTGGAAACGGGATCTCGGCAAGTTGAGCCCCACAAACAGATTTAAATGTAAAACTCAACCCCACCTTATTCAATCTGAAAAGAGGTTATCGCCTCGGTATAGGTCCTTTTTAGATGCGAACATTTTAGATTGGTATACGACCTCTGATTGGAATACGAACTTGTATGAATTAAAATTAATGACGACACCGGGAGCTATCTTTGCTTACTTCTCTCGAGACAAAGCCACGGATAGATGTCAATGAGTTTACAGAGAAGTATCAACCCCAAGATAGTCCACACGAGCCGCAGCAGCATTGTGAGAAATGACGAGTAATGTCATTCAATGACTTCGCAGAGAAGTATCAACCCCAACAAGGTCCACACGAGCCGCAGCCACACTGTCAGAAATGACGAGACTATGTCATTCAATGACTTTACAGAGAAGTATCAACCCCAACAAGGTCCACACGAGCCGCAGCAACACTGTCAGAAATGACGAGACTATGTCATTCAATGACATCACAGAGAAGTATCACACACAAGAAATTCCACACGAGCCGCAGAAGCATTGTCTAGAACGACGAGACAATGGCATTCAATGACTTCACAGAGAAGTATCACACACAAGAAATTCCACACAAGCCGCAGCAGCATTGTCTGCAACGAAGAGACAATGTAATTTCCGAAACATCTTGAGGAGAAGGCAGAAGCAAAGTTCTTTGGACATTTTGTTAGCAAACGTCAAACCTGATGAGCCTCAACTAGGTACCAGTAGCGAAAAGAGACGGGGGAGGGGGAACAAGAAAGAAAGAATAAAACCAGAAATTTAGATATCTGAAGATTTACTGAAAGGGGACTCTCCTCCCAAACAATAACATCTAATCCTACTCCCGTCTCAGTAAGGCATTCGACTCTTCTCGTGAAAGTAAAGTGAGGTTAAATTATTTCATCTAATCGCTTTTGTTGTTTTTTTTTTTAATGTATTTTAGTATTCGGCAGCAAATAAATTATGTTATTTCACCACATCAATGTACAATACGCCAATAACAATAGGATTTCTTTTCTTCTCAGGAAGTCGGGCCCAGTGAGACAGTCCTTTGCCGTTCATTCATGCGTCTCAACCTT